ACACTCATACTTGAAGTGCTTATCGCTGCAAAATTCATGCGCCAACTATTTACATATTCTTTCCTGACTACTCCCTTTGCAACTGATAAGAGAGGGATTAAATTCATATTACCCAAGTCTTGGAATGTTTTTTTAGCCAAGGGATTAGAACTCTCGCTGATCCGGTTGGCGTTTCGAAATATTTCATGGGACTGCGATAGAAGCTGGTGGGAATGTTTGCACATAGGGTGATTCTTGCTTGTTCTTCAGCAAAAGTGCAAGTCATCCAGTTTTTGGGGAGCAAGCGGTCACATGCTTATGGCCAGAGGGCTTGGAAGGGTGATCTGTCCGACAGATTCGCTCTTACTTTCACTGGCTGGGCTACTGACACTTGATCTTATGTAAACTACAAAGATCGTTCAGAAAGTACATGCTTTTCCCATAATAATAATTTATAGGGCATCAAAGCTTTCTCGGGATTCACTTAGGATGGGATAACTCGGCCGAAACCGCCTTTGTCTTCAAATATTTGGTATTCGTATTCCTACTCTCCTCCTTTTCTTCAAATTTTTGTAGTCTGTGGAAGATTCTAATACTTTTTTTTTGAGATGTTCACAAAATATCTGACGTGTTTGCAAGAAGTTTGTTTGATTATTTGCTCACGGGTCAAGTAAAATTTTTGAGCTCTTTGAGGATCGGACCACCTTTCTTGCCATTTTGTCTCTCAAAATTTTGGAGTATGATCATGTCAACATGCCCAGCTCTCGGGTTTGTAAAATATGTTTCAACTTACTTTGAATCAAAAATTCTTGTACTTCTCAGCTTAGGTTTTTGAATTAAGTGAGACTGATTTTTATTGATTTATTTTTGAATTTTTGGTGAAGTTTATATATAGGTTTTCCAGAAAAATTGCTCTTTGATTAGTCGTGAATAACGGCTCGCATTGAGAGTTCTTGCAAACAGATTCAAGAAAAAGCGATCAATAAAGTTTTTTGGTGTTACAAAAATGTTGTATAATTATCTTCCGTTTCTGCCCAGAAAATTTATAAAGTTTCATGAGAATTTTTGGTTCAATTATCGAAGTTCGATTGAAACTGCGCTTAAGTTCACTTTGATTCTGGCAAACATCCAAAAATAGCCTGACCGCCAACCCAGTCCTAACGATGAGCCCGGCACCAATTCAACTTGCATTTTATGCATGTTTTACGACTGATTTTCACGAATAGCCTTCTATTTTAGTTGTTTTCTGGTCCGTTATGTCAATGCCAAAGACTATCCGAGCTTATTTTTACCCCCTTATCAGGGCGGGGTATTAGCGCATCGTGTTATCGCTACGATTGTCAAACGAAAACTCGTCACAAGCACCGGCACTACGCAGCTTTTGTGGCACTGTTGCGATTTTATGGGTCTTCCTACGCATTTCGAGGGGTAGCTCCGCCCATCTGACTTCTCGGACATCTGCCATTAATCACGCACCTCTACACATTACAGCCTGTACCAGTTGTCGGCGCAACGGGACAACTGACACTCTGGTTTACCATTGGTGACAAAGCGTCTTCTACCCGTTTCTCGACCGGAATATTCAACCTAACGCGACTTTTCGACCGCTGCACGCAGAACCTGGCCAGCCACCTGAACGAGCGCATTGTTTGCTGCGCGAGTGCTCGGTGTGTGTACGAGCCGGTGCGGCGCGCTTGTCTGTTTGAGTTGTCTTTCACTGCGACTCTTCGTCCTTCTGTTCCCCCCACCTCGTCGCTGTTCAATTCTATTGTTTGCCAAATTTTACTGCTCAGAATATTACTACTATCGTGTTACCGCCATACGTCAATTTATTGTTTGATTTTAAATCCAATTCTCCCTGTCTATATGTCCTGAATTTTTTCTGATAGTTGAGTAGATCTTTTTTAAACTAGCAATTTGCACATTTTCCAAAATGAACTTTTCAATGGGGGCCTATCTACGCCCTTGTGCATCTTTCTATGATTTTCATAGTTGTTCGGGGGCAATGGTGTTTTTGAGCAAACATTAGAATTATATTATGTGCATTTCTTGACCAAAACAGTGCACAATCATTTTCTTTTTGTGCAATTGCAGACATCAGCAAGAATTACTTGGTTATGACCATCGTCCCATCACCGTACCTTTTCACTTTGGTGTACTTAATCCATCTGATAATTTTTTGAAATACCTGAATCCATTGCGCTTGTCCTTGAAAAAATGGGTTTTCAATGCGATCAAATCATTCCTGACATTTTTCTAGAATGAAAAAATTCAGTAAGAAAACTTCCGTAGAATCTGCGACTACCTTTTATGTGTAAAGTCTGCCCTACTCTTGCCACCGTAATACAAAAACACTACTTAAGTTTTATTTACCTTGAGACCAAAATCAACATAAAAACAACTGATCGCGCGCTCTCCATAACGCCTAGCTGCAAATTTGTGATCTCTAAAAACCTATCAAAAATCAGGTGAGCGGTGAAAGAGTGTGACCTCAATTACTATCACTGAATTTCGACGAAATTGATCGAGAAGTAGCTTTATCAGCATACGGACGTAACGAACGCATAGATGATTGCTTGGACTTCTTCCAAAGAATTTTGTTTCCGCCTCCCATTAATTCTGTTTCATTTCCAAGTATCAATAAAATTTCCAATCGTTATATCCTTCAGTGCCATGATTCCGCTATGATTCATCACGTCGTTTCATCCCCCCATACGATAATTTCTCATATTTTACTGTATAAGCAGGATCGCACATTACTATGACTAACTGTGAATGACCGTTATGTCCTCAGTAGCGCTAATTTTACACCACGCTGATTTTTCATTAAAAAATTACAAATAAGAAAATAAACAATGGTATAAAAAATAAGAGGAGCATGTTTTTTTGCAGACGCTAACATCCCATTTCATGCAACCTTTCTAGATCTCAGGACCTTTGCTTGGGTTCTTGAGTTAAATATTCATGTAATGTGAAATGTTTGGATTGAACACGGCGGTTTACGAACTGTCTGATGTTATTTAGAATATTTTGACATTTCAATGACATTTTGCAGCTTCACATTTTCTTTATGACTAGTCAACTAAAGTTTTTTGAAATCTATCCATTTCGTAGAAAAATAATTGTTGAAGATAGTTTGTGTCAAACACATTTTTTCGAAAGGAAAGATGGTAAATAAGTGTACCAAACAAATTATAAAAGCACATGTTACTTCTGTCATACTTCGGGAAAACAATTTTTTTACAACAGTCAAAGTTTTTTTGTTGTTTAATGAAAAATTGACTGACTTTTTCAAAGAATTCTCGGAGGGTTTTCATCGCACATTATTTCACACTGCCGAGCTCCTTTGCAGCTGGGAGAACTTCAGTTTCCGAAAAATCTGAAATTTTTCCTCATCTCGTATCAGCTTGATGTATTATTCTACTTGACATGTGTTTTTGAACAGAAAGTGTTGCACTTCGTTGATAAGAAGAGTGATTCACATGTGCGACCAATGTGCTCACTCCCCACTATCAGCTTTTTCCTCACCCTGCTTACTATTACAAACTCGTTTTCAAATCAAGCTTTTTGCTTTTTCGTTCCGTCAGTCATATAAGATTTGCTTGAATTATGAAACTTTGGTAAAATCATTGGGAGACAGTGCCACTGCTTTTCCAACCGGTAAAGAAATCTGCTAACATTCTAAGAAGAACTTTTCAGTTTCAATGCCCCTTTTCCTGGTTAGGTCGTGTAAGAATTTTTTTTTATCGATTAGCTTCTTTTATTCAAAAGACTTTTGCTTACACTCACAGCTTTGTGCAATCACTCGAATTTTTTTCGTGCAGTGAGGTATGCAAATGCTAACAAAAGGTTTATTTTCTCTTCTAGATGACATCACACATTTTTCATGGAATTCGAACTTTTCGCGTTACCCTCTTCTGTCATTTTGAGTTTTACATGATTGCTTTCCTGCATTTTGGATAGACTTTCTGTTCTGTTCGATGCACAATCTTTGATTTCTTCGCACAGATAATATGATGGCAAATTTTACAAGCTTTTCAATTTTGAGTGTTCTCAAATCTTTTCTTCAATATGACCAAATGCCGCAAAGATAACTTACAACAAAGCAAATATACTAATAGCTATCTCGCAATTCTTGCTTATTATTCTTCTCGCCTATCTGAAAAGACAAATATGATCAGATCAATCTGTCTACGCTTGGTCTTCCTTACAATTTTTTTTAAATAGCCAAATTAATCTTTGTTTTTTCTTTCAGAATCTATTCTAATATTTTTTTTTAACTTGGAATCTCCTCTATTATTGATCGGTTCAGTACTCACAATGAAAAACGTTTGGTATTATCTTCAAGCTTTTCATTATAGACCTCCTAGATTTTGCAGTAGAAAACAGATTCGGTAGCAGTCCAGCATCTTACCAGTGCGCTACATCAATTCTTTGTCAGCAGTTCCAACCTCTCTATATGGCAAATGATCTAACGATATAATCGCAGAGATTTTTTCGCGCGCGAGGGGACGACAAAAATTTTTTTATCAAACGAAAAACTTGGCCTTAATCACACCTATCAAAAAATTTTGGTAAAACTCTTAGATTTATCGTAAGTTCGTACTTTTTGAGTGAAACAGGCGTGACAATTTTCAACAAATAACGTAAGTCCCTGCTTTTGAATAAAGCCATGATACTTGTTTTTTACAAGAAAAAAATGAATACATAAACTTTTTCTACTGTGTAAACAAGTCACTGCTACAATTTTACAACTCATTTGGACACTTGCAAGAAAATTCTCCCACACTCGGTCCGCTACTTTTATTAAGTAAACAAAACCCATGACTATAGAGCCTAGACATTCTGCCTATTGAAACTGTCCCAAACTTCTCACTCATTTGCACTTCCACGTCCTAAAAATACACGTTGTTCCGACATCAGCCTTTCTGAACATTTTCTCAGGCAAATTATTTTTGAAAAATGCGTTCGTGTGGTTTTCTAGGATTCATCGAAATTTTTAAGCTAATCGGATTTTTTCAGTGTCATAACACACCTCAAGAAAAATGTCCTACACAAATAACTACAATTATCAGGTAAGTCTATGCACAAGGCTTCGGGTGCTAGGCGCAAATTCGGATTTCGCTGAATTTGCGCAGCTGCCCGGGCTTCCCAGGATCAAATATCTAGCACTTTGCACCCTTATGGCAGACTACCGAGCTGGTTTTCAGGTGGCTGTAATCTTCGCCATTTTGCTCGGTGGAATTCTTTTACTAGCGCTTGTTATTGGCGGAATCTACTTCGTCTGTGTGAGCAACGTAAGTCCGAGTTTTCCATCTTTGTGTACGAGTTTTCCAATCTTTGTACGAGTCCGTTTTCCATTATCGTGTGCGGGTTGTTATGTCACCTTTTGTTCGAAAAAAAAACTATGTGCATTTGTTTGCACAATGCACAGCTGAGAGTAGATCTTTTAACGCGACGGACTGGTATTTTTATTTGCGTACACAAAATTCCCATACAACCCGACAAATTTTGTGCAAACAAATCAATAACTTCGATCGATAAAGCTAAAACTACCTAACTGGGACCTTTCTCCCACCCGAACCGGCGAATTGCTAATGTTTGCCTATCGAATTGCTAACGTTCCAATTGTGGAGTGGCGAACGTAATCGATGCAGCAACCAAACCCCCGTCGTCATCGACGGCTCCGGTCGTATAGTATTCGTCGTTTGAAGCGGGGGAGGGGGGGGGGGGGAGTAAGAGAGGAGGGGGACGTAATATTTGCTTAGCAGCCAAACACGACGACACGCTTGAGCTCTACGAACGGCACGAATAATGCGGGACCGGGGCTAAAGCCGATGATGTAGCCACTTGTGTGGACATAATCTCTACTTTAGCTGCCGGTAGTGGAAAGGGGGGAGGGGGTAAGTTTAGTAGAGGACGCCTGAAGGGGGGAGGGGGGGGGGGGGGAGCAAGAGCGATATATTGGTAAGACTTGTAAGCATGTAGTCTCACAAATTTTACTCACACATGGCCGATTTTGGCCAATAAAAATAACATCGGCCTCTCGCCCAGTACCGTACCCTTTCCGAGCGGACCGACTCAGGTATGATACTGGACAGGAGTTTGGAGAAAGGCTCGTAGGTGTCACTCGGGCAATGGCTCGTTAAGGTCTCGTGAACAGTAATGTTATAGTATAGGTGACTAACTTTTTCAATGATACACTATAGTGAATACGCGAATGTATAGTTAATTTGAATTTATTTAGTCACCTTGCGGTGCCAGCAAAACTTGCGCGGAATAAAATTCTATGCTTATAATGCTAACAACAGCCGCGCAGGGAGAATGGAAATTGCGCGTACATTTTCAAGTTGCCCATGGCCATTTGCTCACAAATGTTGTCATGTACAGTGGTAGATACCATAGCGATCGTCAACTTTACAAAAACACATCGTCATAGGCTTTTTTTTTCAAGATTTTCAAGTTAGTCTACTATAACAGTTCGTCTATTTATAAAACGCACGCCATTTCGCGTCAATTTCTCAAACACTGACTGGAAATTCGGCAGAACGTTTGGGAAAGTTCAGCCGAGTCACCTGCGGAAGTCCCCTAAACGTGCTGCGGAAGTTCCAAACTGAGGTGTCACAGAACTTCCGAAGAATACGGTTCGACAGTGCACTCTAGTTGTTAGTGAGGAAACATCGTGAGAGACACACATTTGAAATCTTGCGGAAGTACTGGCAGGTCAAGTGGTGCAAAACCACTGGCATTTTTCGGAACTTTCGCAGCACCTTGTACGAAATTTGGGAAGTTCCCGTTTTCAACGACTCTGATGTAAAAATGGTGCGGAAGTCCTTATTTTCAACGTTTCCATTTTTGCAATAGTAAACAAAATCCTGCGGAACCTCTATCGATTTTGCTTGTCCTGCGGAAGTTCCATTGAATTGTCTGAATCGTGACTTTGCGTAATCTTCTCAGAAAAATGACTGAGACTTCCGCAGAACGTCTAGAGAAGTTCCGCCGGGTCACCTGCGGAAGTGCCATAAACGTGCTACGGAAGTTGCGAAGAATGCGAACCACAACAGCAAAAGAAACACCTAAGCGAGATTGAACCTTACTCTATTGACTGCGAGACTCACTCTTTATCCACTGCACTAGGATGTCATGTAAAGCATTTGCCTTGATGCCGAAAAGCAATAAAATCTGTGAAGGCTAAATGCTTTCAAAAAAGTCAAGTGTTTCCGTACAATGAAAGTGTTTCTACGCGCATGTTGTGCACAAAGTGCATGCAGTGTGCAAGCACAAATTGGGTCAAAAAGGTCTCAACGTCTCAGTTTCTGAGAAAAACGATCACAACGTCGTCTACACATTGGCTATCCCATACATCACTGACAGTGCCAAAAAATATTAGAGACCAAAATGGGCTTAGTCAGGGGCGGAGCCTTAAAGCATGGTGGTACCCATTGATTCAACTAGCTTAACGGCTGGAAGGCGGGGCTTCGTGACCTGATCAAGGCTAGATGATCAGAGAGCACGCGCGCGAGAGCGGCGCAGACTGCGTAGCAGACGCGAGCGGCCTTAATTAGGTCACAAAGCTCCGCCTTCCAGTCGCCATGCTAGCTGAATCAAAGGTTGGTTACCTACAAACGCAGGACAATTTGTCGAAGAGAAAGTGCCCATATATTATTCTCAATTTTTCCGTTTCAGATGCGAGATGACGACAAGAAACGTCTACATTCTGGTCGAAACTCGGCCTCAGCATGGCCCGGACAAGCCCCATCCTATAGCAGTGCTCCATATCGAGCTGCTCCTACTACAGCTGTATTGACAGCTCCTACACCACCAGCACAAAGCTATGAGTATGTTTCCAACAAATTTAGAAAAGTGGGCGAAGCTTAAAGTTTACAACGCAATTTTAGCTTTGCCCCGCGAGGATCAGCTGCCCAATCACCAATGGGTAACGTAGCACCACAAGCACAGTACTCATCACAGGTAATTTATAGCTCTGTATCCAAGCATTTGTGTTTTCGCAGGGGATTATGTTTCCCACTCCAGGTCCCACTTGTAATGCCCGCACGAGTCGAAGAGTTCGGGCCACCGACGCATTATCGTCCACTTCAACCTGACGTCATATACACTCAGGTGAGACAACTACAAAATAATTTCTGTTCCCATTTATGAAACCAGAAATGCTCCTAATTTCCTGAATCCTGCTCATAGTGTATATTAAGATGATATTTCATGAAATTCATTTTATAATACGCCAAAATCATTCTGCATTGTAGAACCGTTTTATAGATTTACAGTAGGTGCCGGTAGGTGTACGGTAAGAGGACAAAAATTGCAGTAGGCCGTTTTAGACTACCAAAAGTTTTTAATAATTATTATTATTTGAATTTAGATCCTTACTTACAGGGACCCTCCGGCTATACGCAAACGACACCCGTCGAGTACACAGTACAATCATTCCCTACATATCACCAATCCTCAGTCTAATTGGCGGAAACTTCTGGAATTTTTTGGAGCCATAGAAGTTCTGCCAATTTTTTACTAGTCTATTGCTTGTACATAATGCATACTCGAGTATCTCAGCGTTTGCTACAAAAACTCTTAATCCTGTGCTTTATGAAACCGCTGTAGCAACGGGCCACATATCATTTACTTATGATAATTGCTACGAATTGAGCTATTTTGTATTTTTGCGCAAGATCTGGGAATCAGCCGTGCCAGCCGGGTAGAGGAACAAAATCCGGTAGGAGCCCGCCCTGCCTCCGTGGACTACTGGCCCTTTCTCACATGCTATTGTATGCCGAACGAGGACCAGTAGTCCGCAGGACAAGTGACTAACGGTGGAATCTTCTCCTCTATCACGTCAATGTCATGCTCAAAAAACAAAATTGTTGGAACATTTTTCTAGCACTGCTAATTCCCATATATCGACTATGCGAAAATCCTGAAATTCAGGGCAATATCGCCATACATTTTTCACAAAGTTCCACCTCTTGTTTTTCGTTAGATTCTCTGTCACAACATGAAATGTTGAAACTTGCATTCAGCGCGGCAACAAAAGCGCTACAGTGCCAATCCGCACGCGGGCAAAGCCGCGCACGTATTCATTCAGCCTATCTGTCCGTTGCCTTTGTCGAGCAGCGGCTATGGAACGACTGTAAAATTCTCAATTGTATCTCGCTTACTTACAAATATTGTTGCTCAAATTATTCTCAGCACTTCGTCCTCATTTATAATTTGATTTTTCTATTATTGTCATTTCTTAAAATGCATAATGTTGCATTCGATTTGCAGTAATTGTCTTATATAAAGATCATATTCTAATGTGTGCTACATTTTTTTGAGTTGCTGAAATGCGATCAACAAGATACTATGGATAACTAGGGCTATGTTTAGACTTACCCGTATCAGCGAAATGCTGACACCCACGTGGACGGATATTGATCGATCCAGCGTTGGCACGGCGTTGGAACGGCGCTGGCAACAGCGCAGCTCTGGACGCAGCATAAGCACTTTGAAAATTGAATTTTTTTCACCCAATTTGAAAATGCACCAAACTCTCATCACGATGCAATCGAACCAACAATTTGATAACATTGTTTTGGACTGACAACGCCATGACCATCTCCAAATATGGCAAGATCCATTCTCTTCTAGTACGACCAATCAATCAGTCACCAATACCACATCATGACTGAGGGTGGAAAAGGTTCGGCCACTCGCCATACTTTCGGTTATTCTGGGCCCCAGTCCGTGCCCAAAAAGCTACTGTTACAGGTTTCAGTTTCCGAAGAAAATTCTTATTCAAAATACAAGAAAAAGTTGGCAACATTGAAGAAACGCAAATGACACCGGAATTCAACCAAGTGAGCAAAAACACTGCAAAACTGGCTTGAGCAGAAATGGATGTAGTGGATGACGTGGCTGACAGGCTGGCTCAATGCGGACATCTGCCACAAACTGTGCATTTTGACACGTTATTACTCGTGGCAATTTTCCTTTTTGTCGCGTGTCCGACGTGTTAAGACAAGCCACGCAAGGTGCTCGTGCGAGACGGTATTCTCTTCAACTGATCACTGTAGGATTACTGTAGCAATATAGGATTACTGTAGTCGCGACGCACAGTGTATGAACTGCATGCCGAAGACAAAAAGCACTCAAATTCTACCAAATTTGTAAATACTACTGAGTAATCGAAATTACCAAGTTCGTGCACTAATGACTGTCACCGATTCAGGATATGCAAAAATACGATTCATATCATGAATCTGTGCAAAAACTTGTTGATCTCTTAGAAGCTGTCAATCAACCAGATCCGAACGTTCTAGCAACAGGGGTACAGTAAATCACCATCACTTTTCACCAATATCAAATGGGTCTATGGAGATTTTCAGAAAGTTGAGTGTGCTCCCGATGAGGATCCTCTAGATAAGATGAAGAAGGCTCTCGAATCATTTCAGGTTTTATAGGACACATTTTGAGAGTTGGCCCTTTATGCACCGCTACAGTATGCTACCATATTCAACGCGGCACGGAAAATGATGGGGTATGGCCGCCGCGTGCGACACTCTGTAAATTCCTAGGGTGCCGCAGTCTGCTTGGTGGTGCAGGATTACGGTGGCATACAGTAAGCTTGCGCAAAAGGGTCCAGATCTTTACTACCCCTTGTTTTAGGTCAAAGATTTCAGGAATTTCTCTCCCAAGATAAAATAGGGCCAATTGCGAAAATCTGCACGATACTAGAAAATGCTGCAAAATGCAAACGCGAGTATCAGGTAGTCAAAAATATACAAAATTACCTTTTCATAATTTGCATCATTTTTGTTAGTTGAACTTCAGGTTAAAAAACGTGCCTGTATTAGACATCTGCGTCGTTTCGACACGTTGGAGTACAAAAATCTGGCCGAGAATCGAAATAATTTCAATCAGTGCGTATTACAGCGATATTCTCTGCAACTACCACCATGAATTTTTCGAAATTCAAAAAATTGAAAATTCAGGGCAAAATCAGCTATGGATTTGGCCAAACATGATGTGAAACAGGCAAAAACTACAGAGCAGATTGAGAAAAGAGCTGTACTGTATCAACAACAAGTGGAATACTTTGATGAGCAGTGCAATAAGGTAATCGAGGCATCGATCGATAACTATCTTTCGCACTAATCAAGTGATTTAAAGGTGATCAAGTTGCTAGAAGAATTGCCGAACATTAAAGCTACTCATTCTAAGGATCTTACGGAGTTGACACGTTGTACTCGTGATTACCACCTCGCAATGCATTCCTTATTCAAATAAATGTTTATGTTTTCTTCTTTGCCACAACTCGTACAGTAAACAAAAAAGACAGGTATATCAAAAAAGTGGATTAAAATTAATGCAAGGGCATTGATAATGGGGAAAAATTTCCAACCAAGGTAAGATCGATTAAACGAAAACTGGCCCCCAAGTGTAAGCGACGACAGAGTCGATGCCAGATGTACGCAAGATGGTTGAAAACAGTGAAAAATTTGGTTTACAAGTAAAAAAATAACACGAACAGAGATGATGGAAGAACAGTTTTCAGCGAAACGAAAAATGGTCCCCAGCTCCAAGTTATGCTCAGACGGACTTCCCTTTTAGAAACCAAGTCAAAAATGTAGAGAAAGCCCACAAATCAATGATTTGCGAGGAGTAAAGAAAGAATACAATAGCGAGCAATTACAGACACTGAATTTGGATCGAAACGTACGATGCTAGGGACCAGTTCTCGCAAAGATAATCGGTACATATTACGATTAAATTTCACAAATCAGCAAGATCAGTTTGTCCGAAGTACTCAGCAACAATGGCTATGAACCAAGACAATTCACGAATTTCATCCTTCCTGGAAACAAACAAATGCGAATCATCAGAATAAATAAGTGGAAAACTTCAAACTGTACTTACTCAGCGAGTACATAACCCGGGAACTAGGTAAACTAAGCTAACTAAGCTCTCGACCAAGCTGCAGCTCACACCCTTCATTTTCGACCAAAAATGCAACTTTAAAAATACTTGCCCAGTACCGTACATTTCTAGGGGACTACGGTACTGGACGGAAGTTGAAACTCGAATTCACCGGTTAGAATGAAGCATATGAGCTGCTGTTTATGTGATGGCTCAGGTAAAAACTCAGTTTCACCAATGTGCTTAAAAGAACTTCACAAATTCACGAAAAAAAAATTACCTTTCCAAGTCCAGAGCACTTCTGCTCCTTCTACATAGATTTGCCAGTGCTCGCATAGCAGCACATACATCAGGCATCACCGGCTTATGAATCAGCAAAAGCAGGACAAAGATCCATTCTCTCAGTGGCCTAGAGAGTCCATCACACTCAGCCCATTCTACAGCATACTGTATCACGTTCTCAACCTAAGTAGGAAACCTATCCTTCAAAAGAGGAAAAGCAAAAAAGTTTCTAAACCCACCATGGCTGAGGTCAGACTCAAGACAACAGGCACAGCTGGTGGGGTCCCTTGATGATTTGGGAATGATGGCAAGAACTGTACACATTTCGGATGGCATCGTCGCAACAGCAACTCCTCCCATTGCTCTGAATTTGTCTGAAAATCACATTTTTTTAGACCTCCGTTCAAAGCATAACAATTCCACGAACCAAATTAGGCCACTGCAGTCTCAATGCCTTCTTTTTCGGCGCCTTCTCCATTCTAGAGCGCAACAAGGAGAACTCTGCCACCTTAGCAGTACGCCATTCTCTAGATGGAGCACGCGGATCATGCTCAGCCTTAGATGTACTGGGAGGGGCCTCCTTTTCTGTCTCCAAGTCAGACACACTGGGCTGGATTATGGACACACATGATGGACCTCGTACACGATCAGCTATAACCTAAAAGAGATTTCTGCACTTCAGTCGGGGAAGATCAAAGGAATTGCCCATTTACCCTCTGTTTCACTGGAGTTGGCGGCTGAAGGGCGGTGCTTCGATCGATTAGACAGCAACAGTGAAACAGAGGGTACTAGCGACCGAGCTTTCCATACCCTGCTCTGCCAGTCTTTTGAAGGCACCGTCCATCCAGATTCTCGACTTCCACGTTTTTGTCGTTTCAGGGCCTTCTCATGTTCCTGATTCCGAAGCCTTCTCATGTTCCTGATTCCGAATATGAAGTCGAGAATGCTCGAAACCCCCAACAATCCCCGTTCCGGAAAACCCACAGCCCGGCTTTCCGGAACGGTGATTGGATGGGCGCGCACAAATGGGCGGGCATGGATGGGGGAAGGCGGGAATGGATGGGAGCCCTCGTGCATCTTCGCCATTCCGAAACGATTTTCTCGCTTCTGAAGCGGCATTTTGCGCTGCCACTTGAGCACTGGATTGATAGGGGGCCCTACTAGTACATGCTGCCAAAACCTCAACATCCTCAACTTAGGATGGACGGTGCCTCTAAAGCAGTGTCCAGAGTTGCTCTAGTGCCGGAGTGCGCCAGCGTCGAAGTAAATGTGCGTATCAGGCGACAGATTCCACCACGGCGTGCACGACGCTGGAACGGGCAGCCCCGGACACAGGTCAAGATTTAGTTCGGTGAATAAATGCAACTGGAGGGGAATAAAAAATTATCAAATCTATAAACTTGGTCAGCCATTAGTCAGGCAAATTTTGCGCCTGAAATTTTACCCATAAGTCATACCAGAACGAAAGCAAACACACTCAGAAATTGTTCTAAGAAATTTTCACGGTCTCATCTTTGCATTTACTAGACTAGTGCACAAGTAATCCCTTTATACCATCGATATCAACCCGCATTGGTCTTTTCCGCGCCGCACTGATCTACTGCGCACGCTTTGCAACGCCCATGCACGACGTGGCGGGCGTCCACTTTTGGCGCTTTGCCAATCATCATCAGCTGATTTCGCGGCCAGCCAGATCACTTTGTTGTTATTTCTTCATTATTTTCTCTTCTATTTTCAGGTTTTCCGCTGGAAAAATGATGGGCCGGCCCTAATCCGACGGATGATATGCCGTTTTACCAACTCTTGCCAGATTAGTAACTTATTATTATTGGTTCATTGATCCAAAATCGGGATATGTCACAATGTTTAACATTCATTCTGCAAAAAGGAATGTTTTGAATTTGCAGTTTTTGCAAGAAAGACCAAAAGTATACATAATTATTATTAATAACGACAAACCTCAGAGCGAAAGTGAAGAGGAACAATAACAATAACACAGCATCAAAATGATAGCAGATGATAGAGTATTGAGCCTCCAAGGCGTTACTGGAAAAACGGCATTTCATCCATCGGATTAGGGCCGGCCCATCACTATTCCAGCAGAAAACCTAAAAACAGAAGAGAAAATAATCACGGCTCGGCACAGGTGGCTTGTAAGCCAGCTGGTATCGTTTTTTGGGACGAAAAGCAAAGGGGGTTTCGTTTTTGTGACCGAAGAGACACGGAAAATTGGCGACGGCGACCTTTTTTTTAGTCGACGTTTCGTTTTTTCAGGGATTTTGGGGAATTTTTCAGATTTTTAAAGGAAATTTGGTTGAGGGTCAAAGGGGACTTCGTAAAAATTCCCAAAAGTCAAGGAGGGACTTCGTTTTTTCCATTTTCATCTAGCCACCTCGTGCCGAGCCCTGAAAATAATGAAGAAATAGCAACAAAATGATCTGGCTGGCCGCGAAATCAGCTATTGACTGCTGGCAAAGCGCCAAGAGTGGACGCCCGCCACGTCTTGCATGGGCGATGCAAGGCGTGCGCACTAGAGCGGTACGGCGCGGAAAAGACCAATGCGGGTTGATATAGATGGTATGTTACCGCTTCACAGTGTCACTACTTCGTATATGACAATGTACGAACATTTTGTCTCATATCTCAAAAAACCGTACACTGAGCAAGTTCTAAAAAAATCATGAGCACACCTTGGATCAAATAAATCGACAAAGATACAGTACAGTATAAAATCATAATTCTACGGTCTCACGTTCAAAAAGGCATCTATCTTCCATCAACTTTTAGCCAGAAATGCCTTATAAAATTTCTCACGTGGAAAAATCATGACTACATTACGAATTGTCGCTTAGTTAGCAAGAAGGTAGTGCCAAACCTCTGCCACTCATATCGCCTGCTCTCCGATAGGAAAGCGCAAACGGGTGTAAAGCAAGCCTTCCGGGAAATCCTTTAAACCTTTGCATTTCTTCGCGCTGTAGAGAAGGCATCGAATGTAATGTTGTTTGAAATTCACTTTACTTCCATATGTGAGAATATCCTCATACTGACGTACCAACAAAAAAAAAAGACTTTTGAAACATGATTCCCTTGCATGGTGAGATTCTAATGTGTAGATTCCTACTTCCCGCGTCATCTACTTATGAGAGAAACAACCTGTGCAAAACTCGAGCAATTCGCTTTGATATATAGCCATTCATGATGAGCTATGTTTCCAAGCTCCTAGTAAGCCAGAAACAACCGGAACCATTCATTAGCTCAAACATTATTTACCAAACAGACCTGCTGCAAGTACTGCTCAGCTGACTGAGGAGCACAATCCATATCAACAGCATCTACATCAAATGCGCCTATATCTATGAACTGTCCACGATCCATTTTTGCCTGAGTCATACTCTTATACTTACCAAAATTGTCAAAATTCCATGAAGCAAATGACTGGAAACCCGGGTTCAAAGAAAACCCCTCAAAAAGCAAGAAACTCTTTATTATCACGAAACGAAACCAGTGACGTATTAGCACAACTTCACCGACACCTGCATCCCAACAATCTCAACAAATATATTAAGCTTTGAATACAATGCGTTGAATTTTGCAAACACAAAAATAGCTTATGTAAAATCGAGAAAAATACTAGTGAACATGCGAGAATTTTCTCATGGTGCGCCTTATTTGCCAATAGAACTTTTTTCTAATGAATGAGATACACGCAACAATAGCAACAAAAACCATCAATGCAACGAGCCAATTAGGGAGATCCGGTAGGATCCAAAACATTTGGCGTCATAACTCTTCGTGAGAATAATTCGTAGCTGCAGCGTTTCGTCCAGCGACTCTTCCGAACACCACACATTCAAGAAGAGAGTTACCGGCAAGTCGATTGGCACCATGGACGCCACCTAGAAGAGTTTTAGTACAGATATAGAGGATGATAAAATTTTCATGTGAAAAGTGCACAAGCAATAGCCTAATGAAGAAAAATGTAGAACAGATCACGAATACAGTGTAACACAATTGATATTGTTCTCTAATGCGAGAGAGAGAAAAAGCGCATGTATGCAAAAAAAACTTCAATCTTTTTTGGGTGATTAATTCAAGCCAAATCTTATATAAAGTTTTTTGAATCCTAGTATGCGATACCTCATAGATAACATGATGCATTTCATCATATACGGTACGCAATAAGCAAAAAGAACAATTTAGCACAAAATAAAATGTGCTCATGATGACAATAGCGTTCATACAGATATTTGAATTAATTAGTTCGCTTATGAATAGTTCGCTTACAATATGCCCTAGCTAACTGTGATGCCCATGGGCGATACTAACAATGAATAAAATAACAGAAAAAATAACAAAAATTATAAAACCTGCACGATAATAAAATAAAATAACATTGATGACAACTGCGAATAACAAAATGCTTTAAAATTGTCTCAAACGTACCAGTAACTTCTCCGGCTGCAAGCAATCCTTTGAATGGTGCCGTGGTATACTCGTTGATCACACGTGCCTGAAAAGCATGATATCAACAATATACTCAGCCTCAGCGCAGATAAATCAATTTATGTACCTGTTTATCAATCTTCAGACCGCCCATGGTATAATGGATAGCAGGTGTGATTATGGCCGCATACACTGGCTTATCCAAATCAAAAGCTACAGGGAATACCGTCTTTCCAAAAGAGTCCTGGAAAGAAAAAATTGGAGGCATACGGAGTTTTGTCGCGGAGGAGTTCTAAACCTTCTCTTTTTTGCCATCTTTGTTCTTCTCTACAAACTTGTTATAATCCTCGATGGTTTGCTTGAGCTTAGTATACGGAATATCGGCAGCGTTAGCAAAAGCTTCCATGGTATCATATTTCTAGAGAAAATCCATTGGTTTTGACTATATCAAACTTAGGAAACGCTTTCGAAGCTTAGGTAACACCTAACCGTTGGGAGCTAAGAAACTTACCGTGAAGAACTTCTTGACAATGTGATAGAATGAAAATGATGCTCGACCAAAACCATCCACTGCCTCATCGTTCATTATCATGATAGCTGATGTCAGACCAGCGGAGCCGTTCTGAGGTGAAAACAAGTACTAATTGAGCGACTCGCAAACCAGAATCAAAAACAGGAAGGATAGAAAAAAAAAACAAGGAACAAAACTTACATTGAATTTCGTAATAGGTTTGCAATCCTGCAGAATTCTACCAGTTAGATAATCACGTCGACCAAGCTCGTTAGCAAAGCGAACTCCATCAAGGTTGATCTAAATGAAGGAATGAACGAAACATGATTTCATAATGCACAGAGTTCAAACAAAATATTACCAGAATTGCTCCCTTTCCTCTCAAAGCTTCTGCAGCCAAGAATTTCGTGCCAGCTCCCGGATCAGCGGGATCCACAAATGCAGTGGGATGCACTTGTACTCTATCCATACCAATCACCTAAAATCAAATAACTTAGTGCGGCTCGCGCAAAGCAAAAAAGGCTTACCTTGGCTCCCATAGCTCTTGCCATTTTCACGCCATCGCCTCGAGCCCAAGGTCCATTAGTGGTAGGGAACCTCAGCTAAATTAGCAAGTTAATAATCTGAAATTGCATCGTAAAGGGAGCAAGAGGTTACCACAGAGGTGGTTTTTTACCTGATTATTACAATACAAACACATGTAATTTCATAAAATTTGAAGAAAAGGGGAACAAAGAATTCAACGCATGAGTGAGCTTATGTAAGAAGGAAGTGATGCATAATTAATGAAATAAAACAGATACCAACCTTATCGCTAGCAAATTCATGCAATAAACTGGCTTCCTCGTTTCTATCGGCACTGAATCCACCGGTCGTGAGAATCACTGCCTTTCCGTTGACCTCAGCTAAAATGAGGTTTTCAAGACACAGGAGAGAAAAAAGACCGAGATGCTATGCCATACATCGTTTTCCATCCTTTATCACATTCACACCGGTAACATAAGCATTCCAAGACGTTAATCCAACCACTCGTGTTTCGGTCATGATTTTGACATCATCAGGTCTTTCCTTCTGGATGTTGAGTATGTGCTCTTTGAGCTTTGAAATTATTCCGAATCCAACGTTGACAGCACGGCCTTCCTTTGGTGGGGGTATCCTAAAGCGACGTGACGATATTTCACGAATAAAAGATGCAAAAAGAAAAAATGTCACACAGACAGATTTCAACTCAAGTCCTAACCAATGTGTCCTCGGTACGGAGTGTCCTCCGCAAAGATTCACATCATTTAGATCTACACCTTTTTCTAACAGAAAATCAACGGCATCCGATGAAGAGCTGACCTTAAAGCACCCAATTTCGTGACGCTCAAGTATAAAAAGTTAACAACCTACCAACAGATCCACCAAAGCCTCATCATTCTCTCGATCACCTGCGCTCATAGTGTCCGAGAAGAAGAGAGCTCTGGAATCGTTGATGCCCAAACGCTCTTGCACAACGGTTTCGCATGCGCTCATCCCTACAGTTTGAGAAGCTAGCCTTTAGTCTGTTACTTTGAGCGATGTGCCACTACTTACCACTACTGGCTTTAGCCGAGTTTCCTCCAAGATTTTTCTCTCCATCGATAAGGATCACCTTAGCATTGCTATTCAATGCTTCTAGCGTAGCAGAAAGTCCTGCCAATCCTCCACCAACTATGATGACTGGTTCATCCGCACCAGGAGCCTGAAGATTCACTGTGTAGTGAGTGTAGTGAGTAGAAGCACCCTCAATTCACAAATCTGAATAGATAATTTTAGTTCACCTAATCCTCACCGAAGAAACCAACCTCCTGAGGTAGCCATACTGTTTTCCCTACAAATAACGGGGCAGCATGGGATTAGCTGTGTAAGAGAAAGCATTGAGTCTCTTCCTTCACGTATGAAGAGCTTGTTTTGCGCTACAGTATGCTACCGTACTTCTGCGCGGCATTTTTCAGCGCCGCCAATAGTAGAAGAGAAAGTGTATAAGTTGCTCAGGCCAACAACACCCCCCCCCCTCGCCCCTTACTGTACTTCGGACGCAGCATGGGATTACGGTAGCATACAATCCACGAGCGCAAATCGTATACCAATTTGGTAGAAGCGACATCAGTAACATTGAAAAAACAACACTTCACTATGATAGCGGGATGGCTAGCTATTAGCAAAAACAAATAAAACGGATTTTCTCGTAGCAAAAATACTGATGTCTCTCCCAGATTGATACACTGATAAGAGACTCAATGAAAAATTGGGAATGTGAGTGCTTACCAAGCAAACCCTAGGGAATAATAATCTGAGCACAGCACCATTCATGTCGACATTAACGCTCAAAATAATGAAATGGTAGAGATGCGATGAAGCAAAGCAATTCAAACTTCAAAAACAGGTAAAACCGATACTCTAGGTTTTGACATGTAGATGTCGGCCGATTGGTTAGAAAACTTTGATGGTAATGGTTAGAATCAGCATGACTACAGTTCGTGAGTTTCTTTCACAGCCCTTCAAGGTTTGATGTCATACAGTGGAAGGACACCTAGCAAAAACATCGCGCAAATTTCGCTACAAAAAATATATACTGAAACGAGAAAGCCGCTGCAAAGGGTAGAATCTCCACATTGGCCGCCCACTAACAGGTCTGAAAAGAAAAAGCCCAAAATCGAGCTTTGACGTATCTAAAGATGTCCGAATCTGCCCTTCATGCTTTGAAATTTTTTCAAATTTCAATTTTTCGACAGTTCTGTCTACCCCGAAGCCCGATTTTGACCTTTTTTTTTTCGGAGTACCCATGTTGACGGCAGAGCCAACGCTGCCAGCCAATGGATCTACCTTCTGAAGCGGTTTTCTCGCTTTGGTGGCTTAGTTGGAGGCCTCTTCATTATATGACATCAAAACCTCATCACCCTCAATTAGGTGTGAACTTTGTCTTTGAGCCATTTATCTGGACCCGAAACAGTGTTTCAAAGCTGGTAAAGATGTCGGCATTGATTGGAAAAAGATGGAACAAACGTGACGGGTTCGGTCAGCTCTAACAAGGGAAGGATAGTTGGTGACCGTGGACATTATACTTGGGACCGAATCGAATAATTATTCGATCATTCGAATAAATCATTCGAATGCGAATGATTCGAAAAGTCGAATATTCGAAAATTTGAGATTTCGAATAAAATTCGGAAGTCGAATATTCGTAATTTTCAGTTTTCGAATATATTCGATAGTCGAATATTCGAAAATCTTCATTTTCGAATATTATTCGAAAGTCGAATATTCGAAAATCTTAAATTTCGAATATTATTCGATAGTCGAATATTCGAGGGTCATTCATTCGATCATTCGATGTCCATCAAATATTCGAATATTCGTCGATCACCGAATATTCGGAAATTCGATAAGATTTGACTATTCGAAAATTCGATAAGCACCGAATATTCGAAAATTCGATATGCATAGCGTATACGGGATGCCTTAAAAGTATCTGCGCACCGTTTGATCGCTAATACCTCTCAAAGTCTTTTGCCAATTTCTGGGTAACATCCAGTAGGGATGGCTTCAGCTTATAAATACAGCTGAAAGCGAATCACCCATGTTTTTCTTATTGTGTATTATCACAGTAGGAAACTCCAGCTTATAGACCAACTGCAAAATAAGACATCCAAAAAAATTGTCTCCAAAAAAGATCTAAAATCTGTGCAGCAGTGTTTTTACGTATGCTGATTTTACTACGCACGAGTTTTCAAGCTTTTCAAATGGCAATCACATTTTTGAAAGGCGTTGCAAAACACTTGTTATGGTGTATCTTTTGTTCCCCAGCAAATTTCCATAGATACCATGTCATGCGCTGCCTTTCGCTATTTTGAACGTGTTAACCTCGGGCAGTTCCGTTGAAATCTCAGAAGAAACGTGTCAAAAGGAGCGAAAGGCAGCGTCGCACCACGTACGCACGCTGGCTCACATGGGAACTTTTCTGGGGGGCACAGGAAACCTCGCGTAAATTTTGAATAAAAGCATTACGGTTGGGTGCAAATTCTGCATAAAGTGAGTTTTTTTAGAGATCTAAAGCAAGACTTTCATCCCTTTTGATTCTTTTTCTTAGGGAAATGGCTCTTGATGTTTTGAAACCCACTTCAGTCCTACGGTAATTTTACAATAGTGAAAAGCGATTGATAAATCGCCTATGCTCTAAGTTGATGTCAGCCTACAGATCTACATACTATTGGACCGCTGTATATCCAATCGCAACTCTCAGTGAGGGTATATAATCTTCTTTGAAGTACGAAAAATCTCTTCACAACCGTCACAGGAGTAGCTTTCAAGTTCCTAAGTCTCTTCACGTCACGGCTAAACCGTTTTTCCATCGTAAATTGTAACATAAGAAAGTGTCCATCTTAGCACTTACATAAAACAATTTGTTCTTAGTGTTTTGGCCTTTCATGGGCAGTCTCAATGACGTAAATTATTCGGTCAGTATTCGAAAATCGAATGATATTCGAAAATCGAATAACATTCGAGAACCGAATAATATTCGAAATTCGAATAACGAATGATATTCGATATTCGAATATTATTCGATTCGAAATTTTCATTTTCGAATAATATTCGATAGTCGAATATTCGAAATTTCCGATCTTCGAATAATATTCGAAAGTTGAATATTCGAAAATTTCAATTTTCGAGTAATATTCGATAGTCGAATATTCGAGAATTTCGATTTTCGAATATTATTCGATATTCCAATATTCGAAATTTTCAATTTTCGAATATATTCGATATTCGAATATTCGAAAAAAATTTCGAATTTCCCCAAGTATAGTGGCCATTCGTAATGATTTGTGTATCAAAAAATGCTCCTTTTGATGCTGGTTCAAATACTGTCTTCCATATCTGCGAAACGGTAACCCTGTTGGAGTTACGATTATTTTTTTCCTTGAATAAATTGCACTACTGCGAGCTCTTTCCTTTTCAAATGATGAATATGATTTAGACAGGTATAATACAACAGTATTCCTTATAAGATTCTTTTCACCAGCTTCAAACGGTATCCTAGAATAAGTTTGGTGATTTTAGCTACCCAAAAGTACGCAAGTTTTCAACGAAAAAGTACATAACTTCCTTTAGAAGATAGTTTCGCGGATATCAAGCACACACTTAGAATCAGCTTTTCGAGGTGCATCTTACGGTACTCGTCGCATCGTACTCATTCGAGACCACGGTCACCTAGTATCCGTTCCCTGTAAGAACCAAACTGCCAGTGCCAACGATAGGTGGGATCAGCCACTCTTCAGAGTGACAGCAACGCTCTACACCCATTCGGATTCAGCACATTCAAAATGCCTGCGCAGGAATCGACACCAACACTTAGCGTTACTGAAAAAAATGCGTGCAGTGTGCTTATGGCATCTTAATGCTTGGCAAGTATTTCCAAATTTTTCAATATGACCAGACGAACAAATTAGCACGATCCCGATGTACAGTTGATTTACCTAATTTCACCTGTAGCACAATCAGTTTGGAGATGAAATTAGATAGAGACGTAAATGACTTGGTAAAAAGTAGCAAAACACCTGATAAAAATAAATAAATGTAATATGCGTTGTACGGAACGTTAGCATAATCTTACACAAAGTAGTGACGCTGCTCTTCAATGCATTTTACAGCGCAAAGAGGTTCGCATGAATTCCATTCGAAATGGTCTGCGATGAGCATTGCGACAAAACAGCTATCGACAGATGTATTTCAGATAGAACAGCGATATATTCATCTCTAATGCATCACCATTTGCTGTCTCAACGACTGAGATTTTTTTCTTTTCGCATATATAACCAAACATAAAAGGTGCCTAGTTTATTGGGAAATCAATATTAGCATGCATTTATCAGCAAAATCTATGTGAAAAAAATTAGGGTTTTTGTTGGGAGAAAGCTAATGAGCTACAGCAAAAACTAATGCATAAAGCACATAGAGTGAAGCGAAAATCCCTTGCCAAGCAAAAAGCGAAGCGAATGCTTGACTAAGCGATGTTAGCAAAATGTTGTGAAAGAAGTAGAAAGCTAGCGCAGCTGAATATGCACACTCGAACATGACGGGCATTATCGATCCCAGCTTGCAGTTTGTTCAAGAGCAGCCAATGCATCATAGAAACAGTCATGCTAGTTCTTTTGGTGGTACGACGTGTTACCGGTAAAACATCGCAGCTCAGGAAACTAAGCAGGTATACACCTATCACGTATCCAACATAAGAAGTGATGAATTACCTATCTCTCCATAATGCCGGCCTGCAAGAGATGGAAGTCGGAAGATCATTGGATCCTAACTAACAACACGTATCTATAAAAAGGTGGGTATAGGCGATTCGTTGCACGCAAAGACTGCGAGCGCTCTTTCGTTTCTCTTACCACCTGCTGTCTCTCCCAAGCACAGCTATCTTGGTCGGACGCAGCAGCGCCCAGTCTTTGCGTATTTTGAATCGCCGATATATACGTAGGCGTGGCACGTTGGCCAACCCTACGAGAACTGATTGGCTGGTGAGTCCAAATGGGTGAAGTGGCGAGCGTGTATCTTATCTTCACCCCTCGTTCCAATCAATTCACAATCAGGCCCTGGCCAGACTTCGCTCAAAAACGCCCAAATTTTTCTGGTGTCTCTTCACTTTCTCGTGTGAGGAGAAAGAGAGAGAGTGAGGAGAGGTTAGATAATTTTGGGCGCTTTTGAGCGAAGTCTGGCCAGGGCCTCAAAGACCCAATCGCTAGTGGTTGATTGCCTTCACCAGTCAATTGCTAGTCACAAGCAGGCCACACGTGCCACGCCCATTCAATACTCCTCACAACAAAAAGAACTTTCATTAGAACAAATCTTTGGCATCTTAACAAGCTATGTGCAGTTTTGAAAACTGCAGAAGCCCATCAAACTCAAATTCAAGAATGACTGAGGAACTAGTCGAAAGAAAAGAAAAGAAAGAAAAGGAAATTTGCTTATTTCTGCCTTTTACAATCTCCCAAATACCATGAAATGAGAGATGAAAATAAAAATCCCAATAATCTGCCTCAGTACATTGTCGTCATTGTGCGGTCATTCAGAAAAATTATGCACAAAAATACAAGTTGCGTTCTTTACTTTCGCAGTTGTAACTGTCCCATGTATTCTACAGGCGCATTTTTGATGTTGACTACTGAAAGGCCAAAAATGCTCTTTACATTGATTTATTGCTAGAATTCGGTTCAATACAGCAGCTATACTATCTTTTCTTTAAGTTTTCTCTTGTAAAGGCCCGGACAGAGTTCGCGATTTCATCGCCTCGCGATTCTCTCGACAGACAACAATTATGAACAAGGCATGCCAATCATCTTGCATTTCGGTTGTGATAGTTTTCCGACACGATTAATCGGGACTACTAACACAACCGAATGCAGGATGATCGACATGCAATGGACTCGTAACTGTTGTCTTGTCGGGAGAATCGCGAGGCGATAAAATTGCCTGAACTCTGCCCGAGGCCTGAAACAACTCAAAACGGAAGGATAACGCAGCAATCACATGAGATTCTTATATTCTTATTCTTTCTGCTTATCCCGCACTTATTAGCTTAGGTACGCGCCATACTTGATCCGCTTGATCCGCTTCGTATCAATTCAGTGAACTGACCTAGCGAAGCGGTTTTTCACTTGATCCGTTTGACCCACTTCATCCACTTCACTATTGATCAGTTTAATGAACCGATGACGAAACGGACCAAGCGGATCAAGTGGATTAGGCGGATCAAGCATGGCGCGTGCCTTACTGCTTCAGTCAGGGGATTTATGATTCCTTTCACTACCACCACCTACATTGGTCAATATCAACTCGCCTAGTGCCTTTGTCCTGCTGTTTGACCATCGATGCTTGCTCGAAAGAGCAGCAGAACTCTAGGTCGCAGTCAACGTCATTTCAGCCAAACTGGTCTAATGTTACGAGCTGGATACAGCGCTAAGAGAACGTGATTCTGATCGCTCCAGTGTTTTTTTGGAATTGAAAGAAGGGAGAAGAAAGTAGGCAAAAAATGCGCAGTAAAGTACGGAAAGTGTGCACAGCACCGCTGATGGGTCAAAAACCAACGCAATCCACATTTCATGCCCTTTCAATCAGCAATCAAGCTCTAAGTTACAGGCAATCAGGATCAGGGCTGGTGACAACTTTTATTTAGGTTCAGTCAGACTCTTAGTTAAAAATTCACCTTCAGATACAAAGCGCAGCAATTCTGCCATTAAAGAAGTAAATCGCACCATATAGAATCTATTAGACATTGGCGATATTCAAGCACACTCACCCAAATATAGAAATAGTAATAGAGCACTGCTATAGTTGAAAGCAGGCAAAATGAAGCAAAGCAAGCCAACACCGTAGTGAACATGCAGAAGCGATAGCACCCTAATGCCGATAGTCGGTGATCGAAAGCCGACGTTAGGAAAGTACGTAAAGGGCAACAAATAGCACTATTCTATCGTGCACAATAACAGAAGTACCAATAACTGATGCATAGTCTCTGCAGTACAGTTTCTAATATGGCGAAACCTAATGAACTAGTGGGAAACAAAAACTAGACTGTCCCGCCTTATTATCTTCTCATCAATCACTAATAAGAAACATAAAAGAAAGAAAAGAAAAAGAATATAGAAGTTACCTTTCGTCGAACGTCGGCCATGGTGGTCGTGTAGGTGAACACGATCGCCACTGCTAGTAATGGTACCAGCATCGATTACGACCCCTTGTACGAAACGAGGAACACACCTAGATGCACGTAAAGAACTGAAAAATAAACCCAAAAAGTGCACGAATGCAGACGAATTAAAAGAGATAAATAATACGTCCGCGGTGCTGAGAGACCAGAAAACCCGAAAAAACCATATCTAATAGAAAAATGTTACATTTATCTTGTATGATCAACTGTGAACCATACATATATTAATCAATCAATCGACTAACTAGACAAAAGATAAGTTGGTCAAAAAAGTGGTTGGAGAAACAATATTAGCATATATAATATGAACATGTGACGACAAAGACAAGGCCAAGGAGAGCTTGAGATCAAGGCAATCACGCCGATCACTGCTTCACAATGCTCATCGAGCATGGAAACAGTAAACCGACACTGCTATTAAATCAACACACGTACACACAAATCTAAGCCGTGTAATCACGACGCTTATCAATACATTACGTTATGATCAAAAAAGTCAACACAAAAACTGATTGCAACTAGGAATTTCAATACAGAACTCTACAGAATCCCACCGAGACTGCTAAATTCTTTCTTTTGTAAGACACAGTATACGGTAATACCACGTAAAGTGACCTTGAATAGCGTTACCGCTTCTGAAAAAAGCAGTAAATAATTCAAGATTTCAATGACAGCGGATACCAGTGTGGATATGGTAGGATACAGTCATAAATAGTATAAAAAGAAAGAAAAATCAATACACGGATTAAGATATTTGTGCAAGAAAAAACAAAATTTATTATGAGAGACCAAGCGTCTTCTGATGTTAAACTAGTAAGATAGTATGCGCGTCACCAACACCATTAAATGCACAAAGCCGAAGCTGTGTGCATAATTGGCAGTGTTGATTCTCAAAACACAAATTCGCCTTATAACGCTTAGTTGCGCAATAATGTGCCGAAGTCGTCAGTATTCATTGGTGAGTGAACCATATAAGGGATCGTTCATACCGCGCACAAAGGCGGACGAAGGCGGACGAAGCCGGATAAAGGCGGACGAAGCCGGACGAAGCCGGACATAGGCGGACGAAGCCGGACAAAGGCGACGAAGGCGCGTGTGAGTGTGTGTGCGTGTCGAGAGAAACGAGACGAGACGAGACCGCGCCTTCGTCCGCCTTTGTCCGGCTTTGTCCGCCTTTGTCCGGCTTCGTCCGCCTTTGTCCGGCTTCGTCCGGCTTCGTCCGGCTTCGTCCGCCTTTGTGCGCGGTATGAACGATCCCTAACTAGAATGATAAATTTGACCGTAACTTGGTGCTCCTGCGGTGGTGACAACATCTGCGCGTAAAAAAATGGTCGTAGTGCGCATACTTACAGACTACTACGCCATACGGCCACTCTCGCGCGAGTATTATTTACACCGCAGAGGCACTATGTTAATTGTCGAAATATATTCTGTGCCTTTCTCAAAATTCAAAAAGTTGGCATGAAACTTAAGTTCCGAAGGAATCATTCTCAGCTGCTAATAACGCCAAGAAACATGACTGGGGAGATGAAATTCCGCCGATAGGAGCCGATTCCGCGGACTACTGGTCCTTTAGCGCATGCCAGTAGATGCCGTGTAAGGGCCAGCAGTTAGCGAAGACTGCCCCTGAATGACGGTTCCGTTCCTCCATCCAAAAGAGCAGGCAGCGCGACGTGTCCAATGCTACTGGATCGGCAAAGTTTCGCGGCATACTGTAACTTTCCTTTCCCAAAAAATCCTCGCCTTGTACCCCGATGGCGTTTATCCCAATCCCGGAGTTTTTAAATTCTAAAGAGGACGCTAATCAAAGTAAAAACAAACTGATGAATCCAAGTGCAAAATTATTCCAAAACGCTTGGTCCCTAAAGTTGTATAAACAATGTGGACATATAGATCAAGAGAAAACAAAGCACAATTTCACGTACAGTATGAACAGTCAATCTTCTCGTAAAAACGGTTCATATGGACAATCATAGACCCGTTCCGGTCCCGATTCTTCACTCGATGACTTTGCAACACACATGCATTCCTCACTGCATGTGCTGCAAGATTTCTGTTCGACAGTTGCATCGCTACTCTGCCGCTGCACATCCTCTTCCGAAGACATCTCTTCAGTCTAAACATTTTATACAATGCTAGTTGCTTCTACTAATGGCGAGAATAAAAACAAATGGAACATGCAGGATTTTTATGAAGAGGGTGCTGATGGCCAACCGGATATTCCTTTGGTATATAAAAGACAATGTTCACGCAAATTGGGCTCATGGGGCTTTCGCATGGAAACTGAATGGAGGTTCCTAAAGACACCGTCCACCATAAGCGAGGGGTCTTGTGCTTTTGGCAGGTTACAATAGTAGGACCCCCTAATGCCCAAGGCGGGGGGCAATGTCGCTATTCAGAAGCGGGAAAACCGCTTCTGAATAGCGAAGAGACATGGAAACCCTAAGTCGGCACCGCCCCTTCCAGTAGTGTTCGTCCATCCGTGCGCGCACATTCGATTACCGTTGCGGAGAGCCGACCTGCGGAGTCTCCACAACGAGTATTGTCGGGCTTTTCGCATATTATCGACTTCATAATCGGAACCAGGGACATGAGAAGGCTCCGGAACGACCAAAACATGAGTCGAGAATTCGGGTGGAAGGTACCTTTGAACTATGGAACTTGTCTAAACGGCGTGCAAATGATGAAACCACGGTCGAAAACCACGCTCATCTTCAAATCTTTCCATTATACCGTATCTAGCCAACTTATTTCGGCTTACATGCTTTTGAGCACGGGCTCTTCATAACCTTGGAATCCCCACACACAAGCGATTTGATGCGAGTCGCCTGCAACGTGGACATATCTCGTATCGTGGACAGGTCTGGAGATGTTCCCGGCCATTGACGTCGTTTGCGCCTTGGGTAGTGCTTGGTTAAGCTTTTAGAGCAGATTTCCACGTACGATTCCCATGTGTCTAAATTCGCCTAGACGCTGTCTTTGAGAACGACGTAGGAACCCAATCAATTTAGCATCATTGGGACTTATTTTTCAACCCAAAGGCAGCCAGACTTTCGGTCAGATGCAATAGTATGCTACGCTTCTTGGGAATCATATAGTAGAGCCTGAGCGATGGCTCAGCTGAAGTTTTCTGGAAGTCTACACAAAAAATCCAGTGAATTGAGTAGATTTTCTGCTCAATATAGCGTGCTTGAGGTGCCTAGATGATGTGGTAGATTTTGTGCATAAACAAAGCCATGCCAATAAGCCGCCTTTGCGCTGGCCCGCGTTACATGTGAAGCTTTTTGTATACGCGTTGAATTTAGACACCATCTCGATAGCAAGTACACTATATTGAGCGGAACATCAATCGAACGATCCAGATATGCCTAGACATTACATTGATGCTTGTCAGCGAGAGATTCCCCAAGATCTCAATTACCACGCGATTTTTTAGATGCTGAATTCGCTGTGTGATATTCTAGCCAACATAAAATGCGCGTAAAAAAATCATTGCACGAGAAACGTATGCTATATGTACGCTGTTATGCTTTACTTGCCACTATCAAGAGGACAGCGGGAGAAAAAAATCGTCATTGGACACGTTTGTTGCTTTTTGCAGATTTCATGAAAAGTATAAGGTGAAGTCAAAAAATATTGAGATGTAGAGCTGGGATACCAGGTCAGTAGAAAATACTGGCGCAGATTTGGAGCGCTATCTTCAGAAACGAAATTTCACTTCGATAGTGGTAGTGGAAACAATGAGCTTTATATTGGGAATGAAACAAATGAGATAAGAACAACGCTCACAGACAAAACAAAAAATGCGTGCAGCCAGAACTGCATATAATTGTCACTCGGCATACTAGTTCTGTGAATAGAATCGAAAAAGGGCCAAGTTTTGGACTACATTCCAGATGAGACAGGTTTTCGCAAGCCATTACGGCTCACAGAAAAGTCAAGAAAACTTGTGAAAAGCCACGCAGAATGTGATTTATTACACTGCCAACTGATGCAATTTTTGATAGAGACTTCAGAAGTTCAGATGGAGTCATCTCCATCATTACTGCAAAATGTACAGAATGAAAAAAAGAAAACTCAAAGACCCCAAGTCACGCACGATACAGTAGCTAAGAAAATCTAATAACACGTTTCGAATGTAAAAAGGTTGCAGTGGATGTGCAAGCAATTTCCTAAAGGCAGCTTTGAAGATGGGCACGATATAACGATAGCACGTTATTAGATTCAAAATGAATCAACTAAATAGTTTTTACAGCCTTCCCAAAGTGGCAATATGTAATATGTGTTTGGTGAATATTGAAAACGCATTGACATGGCTGATAGTTTGATGTTCGAGCTTTCGATGTCAACGAGATCCTCTTCATCTGTCAATCTAGTCAAACATACTTTCGAAATGGGTGGGTGTGTCTTCCTACGTCGTACAAAGATACAACGCAAATTAGCGTAAGCTTCCGCAGTAGAAACATAGTGACGCAGTAAATTTTCAACCTGCTCGATCTTTTCAGTCCTTAGGCAGGGACCGACTTATCCATCTGGCCGCTTAATCCACTTCCCGGATAGGTCATATCATTGATTTGACCAATCAAGGCGGCTAAGCGGATCATCCGGTTCAACCGGTTCATCCGGTTTACCCACCCGCTATTGGTCAAATCACTTTAAGCAACAGCAAAGGTGAAGCGGATGAACCGGCTGAACTGGATTAGTCTAACATCTGCCTTATTTAGTAAGGTTTCAGCGCACATGAGTATGCTTTTTGCAAACCACGCGTGGTACTTCACGGCTTGTGTGGTAGAAGCTCTCAAACCCAGATTTCTCGTTTTTTGTTTCACCTTGATTAGATTACTAAGTGGTAGTACCTATTTTGACAGTATTTCACTAAAGCGTTTATCAACGAGTTAACGGTAAGGAGAGGCGGCCGTGCGCAGTGTGCATACTAGCACACCAATCTGCAAATGACCTCCTAACATGTGGCGCAAACATTTGGCTTTGCGTAAAATGCTTCTCAAGTTGCGAACATTGCATTTAGTCAACCAGAGAATGAAAAAAGAGCTGATTAATCCTTTCACGACATGCTACAGCGGAGCAGACGTGACACAAGGTGATGGACACGTGTCATGCTAGTTTTGGACCATGGTGATGCGGACACGCGTCATGCTAGTTTTGGACCAATCCCATTAGCAAGAAACTGTGCTCTAACTAGAGGGCGTAAATCAACCCTCGGTGGTCAAATTTGACTGAATGAGAGAACAAGACGGACAGATATCCGCGTTCAGACACGTGGACAAGATTATGAGTAAAACCACCAGCTATCTCAACCCGCGCATATAAGCCCCACTTCAACGATTGACTCAAGCAGGGCGAAAAGCGTTGCATAATGAGCGTAGTGCGGCATGAGTCAGCGTATGCATCTATTTTTACCTGATAAAAACAACTAAATTCTCAAAGTTGGATAGCGTTGCCAAGAAAATAGACCAAAAAACCCATTTACTCACCTGTCCTCCCGATGATGAATCCATCCCATCGCTGCTACTTTTCCGATCTTCAGTTACCGATTCGCTACTAGTACGACGTTCGAGGATATTTTCCGGTGTTGTTGTTTGACGCACATGAACGGATGAATGCCAATTAACATTTAGTCTATAAATATTATTTCAACCAAACCGTGACAGACAAGCGTTTACGAAAACGTACGTGCTCGGCTGCGCGAACTCCTGTTGTGACGCATTTAGGGGCGGATACGGGAAGGTGCGGTCGGTGACCAGTGGTGAAGTGGAATTTCTTACAAAAACACCGGACACACCTCCTCCAGCACAGCTTCTTTTCGACTCAATCTCTTCCACTCCGGCTGTATAGCGCCGTTTTAGCGACTTTGTCGTGATCGGAGACAAACTTCTGGAACAGCTAAAGAGATATTTTGAATCTCAAACAGTGCCTAGAAGTGTAAGCCAGCAATCGGATGTGTACTGCCAGATGTAGAGTTCGTACCTAAGTAATCGCTGTCTGGTCGGGCTTTGGGTAGGGCTTGGAGTGGCCGAGTACGGAATATTCGGTCGAACCATTTGGTGTGTAGATGGAGAGTAGCATTGCTGTAAAGGTAATCCGGTAAGAAGGTAATCCGTACGTATGATGCAATGCATGAACATAGGTATTCCCTATACATAAGGAGAGTAGGGACCATAGGCTAGGCCGACGTCTAAAAGTTCCCAATACCCCTTATAACCTCTTATCAGCCATTTAAGTCTAGCAAAACCAAGATTAGGTGTCACAATATCAGTAAGATCAGACGTTTGGAGAAAGTTACTACCAGTCGGCGACAGATGTATCTCTTACTGATAGGAAATGATACGATAATGTTTGGAAAAAACGTTTAAAGGAGATCGTACACCCAGATAAGTATAGACTATAAATAAGTCAAAGTATACTGAATTAGAAAAAGATGATGAATACTAAAAACATGACTATAGGAACATGATTCAGCTAATTCAACGTTTGAGAAGACAAAAAATCAATCAAAGAATTACATCAAAAGCATGAGACACTGGTTGAATGTGGGAAAACGTCTCGCAATGCAGCATTTTTTTAAACAGGGCGGTATGGCTTCCGAAAACTCCAAATTCTGATAAGAATTTAGACCTAAATTTTGCCACACTGAAAAATTTCTTTGCCAAGCAAATGCTTATGAAACTTCGAGACATAAGATGATTGCCAGAGAAAAAAAAAAGGATAAATCATCGAAAAAACTAGTGCAGTATTTTACTACTATACAATCGGATCAATCTCATTTCGCGATTGGATCACCGCGAATGACCACTAGATGATATATGCAAAAAACCCACTATAAACGGGGTCAAGTGTAGGATGAAGTGTTCTAGCTAGCCACAAGTTATTATTAATGTACTATGAATAAAAACAGCTTATGCAATTTGCGGAAATCTGCGCATACACTTACGTCTTTTCGCAACGAAATTCAGACCACAATGAGAAGAGTATTTTCGCTAGTGGTATGATAGTTTTAAAGCGATTCATTAGAAACAAGTGCAGCAAGTGCATGAAAACATAAGTAGAAATATCGATACTTTTGTTATCATAGTCATGTGCAAGACGCATGATAATCAATAAAAATGTTATTTGATAGCATCAAACTGCACACATGCAGTGCGTGAAGGTTATCCATTGTAATTATGCCCGTTGACTGACGAGTTTTATGTGATGGAAAACTTTTGCGGTTTTTTTTCGTAGAGATGAGCTCTTTTATATGAATAAAGATAGATTGGCTCCGGAAAGATGATTCCTTCATAACACTTCGCACTGTGCATAAGCGTAGATTTGAAGGCATTAGCCAAGCGAAAACTCAATTTCTAACTTTCGTAGCTATCCTGGACAGCCCAAAAAGGCGAGAATAGTTTTTTTAGTTTTATAGTAAAGATCTGAACGACTGCAACAGTTCCTCCAAATTACGCAGAGCCCTGTAAGACCCTCTGATCTCGGCATGCGCTCCCTAACAGTAGAGAATACCCGCATGAATATTGCAAAATGAGTTAGCGTTGACAACAAAAACAGAATACTGCAAATTGACTTTTCTGTAAACTATGCAAACTGACTTCTGCTATCAGGACTATTATTTGAAGTCTGGCGCAAAGATAAAGTAAGGCTTGAATTTTTTTCAACAGTGCAAACTTTGAAAAACCCACAACGCAAATATTTCAGAATACTGAATTTTACTCTTGGACAAAAGTTCACCTTACCACGTACCTAACATAACACTCAGACTTCGAGCGTCAACAAAGAAAGCACTTTCGACGTCACTCTGTTTCAAGGGTAACTTCGAATTAGCCTTATTACATCTGACACGCTTCGTGTAGATTCGTAACAAAGCTGAGTTGATGACAAATATTCAAAGTTTTTTTCTCAAAAAAATTCACATCATAAAATAGCGTAAAAAGTTACATGGTGAGACAGGCGTGCATGAAAACCTTGTTACCCTCCTTCGGAGTTTTTTTTTTTTTTGAATATCTTTTTCTAAACGGTCTATCTTACAGTGGCGCCATACGCTGCCAGTTCCTGCAGTAATCCTACAGTAACGAAGAGAGATTGGTGCTTTGCCCCATACTGTAAATTTAAGATGAAGCCAGCTTTACAAATTAGTATCTAACGTCAACAGAAAACTATGCGGGAAGAGGGATATTGAGGTTAAACAGTAAGGCCATTCAATGGATATCCTGCATTCCACAGGGCTGCGAAGATCATCTTGTCCGAGCGGGAAAAAAATTTTTCTCTTAATCTTTTAGACAGGAGCGATCCACGAGTACCGAACAGAAAGCTTTTTTTTGCCCATGAAAAAATGAGTTTGCCGTTGAAAAAATCTTTTTGTATTTGAACACAGAGGATAAACAAAATCGTGTTTTACCGAAGGAGTTTTTACGCAACAGTATACAACGCATCACGTGAACCATTTCAGGTTTCAATATAGCAGAACTCTTGAGTTCGTACTCCAGCTGTATGTCCCTACGATTGTAACTTTCCGCAGGAATTTTTCTACAAAAAAAAAGAATGCGAGCATCCACATGATTCAGTGAACGAAAGGGATTGTACTGCATTGACTCTTTATGAACATATGGTTGTTTCAGCATTATGACTTCATTTCACAATTTGTGGTCACGTTGATAAAAAGCATCTCAAATGGTCCAGTTCCCACAGGTCGCAGAATTATTTACAAACGGTATTTGATTTTTCAGTAGCTGATTGCCGAAAGTTTTGGTGTTACAAAATTGAAATCTGACTCAAAATCCCCCACACCGAACAGAAGGATTAAACTTCGTGCATGAAGATATCCCCGTGTTCCTGTTTCAAATCCTCGAATTAATCAACAAGAACAAGTCGCACACCTCTGCATTGACAAATCCTCTAACGAATATACTGGCCACTGCTCGTCCAATTGAAGTACTTTTTTTGATCACTTGATGTACTCAAGTTCATGTTTACTGCATTATTCAAATCTTAAAGTATCGTATAATACAAAGCTTCATTTTTGTTTTAATGATTGTAGCAGATGGCGCAGTTTCTAGCGAAAAAGAAGCCATTGAAACGAGTATTCAGCGCTATCCACAAGCATCTTCTAAAATAGACTGTCTCAGTCAGAGTTTCACAGGCGGCTCGGACTCTCGCGGCCGCCTTATTAGGATGCGTTCATACTGATCCGGAAGTTCGCTAACAGTTCCAACACAGCGCTCTGACTGAGCGCTTGCAGGAACTGTTCCCGGACTTTGAGATCAGTATGAACACAGCCCTAGGCCTCACGAAGCGTACTCGGACGAGTGAACCCCCATTTTTTCAGCCTCCAATCGCTGTTCAAGTGGACAAGCAACTGGGTCCGAGCAAAGCTACCGCGCTCGCACACGCGCCGCGTCATATAACGGTGATTTTACAGCAATGGAGCACTTTACTTAACATGGATCATGTAAAAGCAAACAAAGTTATATTTTCAAGACGTTCGTCAAAAGCAATGGCGCACTGATGACGGAGAGGAACAATAAGACTTCCGTCACTTGTGACAAATGTTTGATTTCCGTCTTACAAAGGAAGTACGCTTGGTCGAAGTACCGATTCGGAAGATGATCTATACTAGCGAATAGAGTCTGAAACGCTGATCTCAAGTATACCCTCTATATCTGCGATGCGTTTTTCTGTAGGAGGTTATGTTTTTTTTTATTTATAATGAAAATGTGGTCTAGGAAAATGAAGTCTGTGGACAACATAGTTGGACAACACTCGAAAACATTCGGGCGATACCAGATTAGACTTCCAATGCTTATTAAGTGGTTTGCTTGAGCCTACATACTTTTATGTGGAAATTACCGTAATTTTTCGATTTAAGATGCGCGAAAATTTGACATGAGAAAAGCGCACAACTTTCTCCAGAAGAATGCTTCGCAGATATAGAAGGTGTACCTGAGATCAGCGTTTTCAGTTCTTTCTGCTGGTAACGATCATCTTCCGAATAGCCACTTCGACCAAGCAGACTTCTCTTGTAAGACATCGCTGAAACCCTCCACCGCCTCCCTGTTATTTTTTCATGTGGAGAAAAAATTCAGTGCCTTCACAAACGCAGACCACCATTACCAAACTAGGTAAACGGATAAGTACCAGCATTTGGGTAGCGCAATTGGAAAGTGATGTGTAGTGTGCAAATCATGTCTACAGCGCTTTTTTCCAGAGCCATGATACGGACTCTAGAACACATGCTCAACATGGCACACCAAAAAAATTGTCCAGACCACTTTCCCCCGACATATCAACCGCCATACCTTATGCATGTCCGTCACTCTAGTCGGACTCGGAGAACAACTATGCGGCAGAAAAACGTTTGTCACAATCGATATCGGCTCGCCGACCGATGATGTCGATGGTGCACGTCGACGCATCTCATGAAAATCAAATCGTTATGCAAAGGACTATGCGTCATAGAATAACCCGTCTTTGTACGAAAAAAAGCTGATGTTACTTACCATAGATGAGGATGACTCCAAAGTGATATCATCGAATCCACATGAAACTTGTTGAGACGTTTTCACGAGACGTTCATGTTCGACCTAAAAGTTCCTTTTTTGTGTTAGAGTTTTAGATTACTCCACATAAGCGTTATACATCATGGAAAGCATTGCAGCATAACAAAAAAATAAAGGATTAATCATTGAACTCATGCATTAAAAAAGTTTTCAGCACCACATGATGAAAACCATCACTTGATAAAATAACTATTATTACAGTTTTAACTGGGAGTCCAAGAAATTCCAAATATCTCGAGGGCAGTTGACTGAACACAAAAGAGAAATGATGGAAAAGGGCCAAATAATGTAGCGTCTATAACATCGAAAAAATACTTGCTGCTTGAAATAGCAATCTTCAACTACTGATCGAAAGAAGATCGATATTAGTTCTATTAGTAATTTTCCGTTTGCAGTCAGTTCTCGGAAACGTCAATCATAACCTCACAAGAGAAGCGAACAAAGTTTTGGCTGGTATACTTGCAGATGGAATCACTATCTATATATTTGCTCAACCACTTCGCTTTCAGCAATTTTTTATGCCTTCACCTTTTGCCTCCAGCAAAACCATAGATCACTCTCACACGTGCTGCACTAATGATTATTTGTACTTTTGCTTTTGTAAAGCAGACTAGTACTGACAAGTGTAATTTCACTGATCTAACCAGTCTGCAATGTGATAATTCAAGAAAAACTGAAGAAAAAGAAGCAAGAGGCACGGAAAGCTTCATACTTTTTTTCCAGTTATTCAAAACATCCACACCAGCAGATGCAACGGCTTCCCCTTCCTGCCTAAGCAATGACGACGCAAAAGGCAAAGGAAATCCATTCATTACCTCATTACTGAGCGAGCAATCGCTTTCTCGTCGTATATTAGCGATGCGTCCTCTTGGAGCATCCAACCTGCGAGCAACGGGCAAATTTGTGTCTATTACCTGAAAAAAAAAGAAAAAAGTAAGAAAACATTTCCATCGATGCTAATCTCATGAAATCATCATTTGTCATTAGCTGAAGATTTATGACATCTACATAAAACTCGTGTGATGTTCACATGAGTGAGCGCTATAAGAGCCGTTGAAAACAGTCGAATAGCCATGAGTAGCCTTAGTCAAATATCGTTAATCATATAACTCAGATTTCACAAATAATTTCAAAAATACTCTCGCACGGTTTCCTATAAGATCATGGGACGTAAAATTTATGATTTAACGCTAAGTGAAAAGTAAGAAAACTATGAAGGAAATCGAATGAGATAACAATTTTCCATACCTTGGACTTGCTCAGCTTTCTCAAAATCGGTTCGTCTCCATCTATTGAGCCGCCACCTACAGTCAGCTCGCTTCCATCCGAGTCACTTGAGGATGACGACAATTTGCGCACGGATCGGCGCGCTCTGAACTATGTGTATTTCAATTCCATTTATGAAATAGGTGAGGACTTTGACAAAAATAATATGTCAGTAAAGAAACAGAGATCAAGTAATTATGAGTTGAAGTAATTCAAATCAGTAAGGGATACACACCTGAACTTCTCTGTACATTCCGTAGAATCTTTCGATAAAAAGGACCCGTCGAGAGATGAGCGTGAGGACGTTTCAGAATCAGCCACAGAAGCTAAGTATACAATAAGTCAAAAACGGGTAGACTCAACAAGTAAAGCAGGGTGCTTACTGTTCAAGAAATCTGGTCGCAATGGAAAAGACGTGAATGCACTTGGTGAAGCTTGACTCAGCGGCAAAAATCTTAACGATTGAAATGCACAAAAGACCAAAAATACTTGTTCGGTTTATGTCAGGAATGCTTACGGTGATTGACGGTGGAGAAAATTTGATTCCGGAATTTCCTGCTCGCTAATGAATGAGCAATTGGATGGCGCTGGAGAGCAACCTTCGGATGGAAGCTCCTTTTCGAAGACATCTGAACAAACATCGCATAGTATAAATTCCATACGACTTCAGTGGTCAAATGCAGCATTGAACCAAGACAACATGAAGGACTTTTTTTCGACATTCGTGTACATACAAGCCTCGAAAAACAGGCTATCATCTGTTCTAAAATTAGGATGTCGATAAGCTCGAACATGTCTCATGAGTTCACTGGAAAGAAATCCATAAGGCTTCGGGCATAGTTCACGCGATTTCGTCGCCTCGCGATTCTACCGACAAGACAATTGTCACGAGTTCATTGCCGTGCCGATCAGCTTGCTCGGTTGTGAGATCAGCATGTAATCGACTCATGATGGTTGTCTTGTTGGGACAATCGCGAGGCAATAAAAAGGCGTGATCCTATGCCCGAGGCCCTATGCGTTACAGCGCAAGCACGAACTCAGTCTCAAGCATGCAAGCCGTTCTCAAGTAAGGCTAGTCCCAGAATGGATGCCGTACTAGAGATAGGAACGGAAGTATAAATCTAAAATATGAGATCACTCCTACCTCACATGATAAGTACATAAATAAGAAGTAAATGAAAATAAACATGAAATTAAAAGCATAAAGAAACATTAGCAAAAAGGTTAGAACTCACTCTGCGATTCATTTGAAGCTGTTCCGATTACGGTACTTCCAGGAGTTGTACCAACACCAGCGGTCTCCTCAGTCATTTTTTACAAATGCCCTTTGCAGATTATGGCCACAGTAATCAGCACAATCTTACTTGTTCGAAGAGCCCAGTTTGACAGGAATTGTTGCAGGTTTCGTTAGGAACAAACCATTTGTAGCATATAGGCAACAAAAATTCCTGTAAACATCTATAATGAGAGAATATTGGCAAAAACTGAAAAGATTATTATCTTGAGTGCAATAAGAAAAGGGCAAGGTTAAAACGACAATATGAAGCGTTTTTGGCGAGAATTTTCATAGAACTTTAAATGAAAACGTGGATTCCGCAAAAATGTAGCGAGAAACGCGAGAAATCGACTGAGAAAACTTCATGAACAATAAAAGTTATTGGAATGCACAAGCGGCACTATGTGGACACGCGGGACGGGGCGAGCCTCGCCGCTCCAACGTCATTGCTGATAGTGATGGAGCGCGCTTTTTACTTCTCGAGAAGGGAACTTCGGGTGATTGACAAAATGCACTCAATTAGGGGAGTAGTGTTAACATTGCTGATGTTATAGTACAGCATATAATCATTTGCGCATCCTGGGCGCGACGCAACAAAGTGATAATGCCGTTGCTAGGTTATAACAAGTGTACTTGATGAAAAATAGCGCTATAAATGTCAATGTAAGCGCAAACACCAAATTAGTTCACGCAGTCTTTAGTCAAAAAAATGATCTGAAAGACAATTAAAAATATAGCGTCGTCTACTGCAAGAGTACGAGACAAGAGAATGCAGAGTCAGCATGGATGTTCTTTACAAGTTCGAACTTGTTCTTGCTTACATTTGAAGTGAATAACATCCAGGCCGACGTGATGCACAAGTTCCAACTTGTTAAATATGTACACGTATGTACATGTACATACTGCACGTGCGCACTAGTCTTCCATATCCTAATCCTGGTCTGTTAATAGCACATTCCAGTACCAATGAAAACATTCTCATTTGCAGGAGGCACATCTGACGTGAACTACAAAAAATTTACCATTTTACGTTATGCAGTTTGATTACGCTAAAGTGACGGGCGCACACTGTATCGCAAAGCCAAAGATGAGCCGCCGACGCAAACAAGGTGCCCGCTGCGTCCTGTGCGACAGCGCGGTCACAGACGCTTTTCGCAAAAAAAGTTTGGCTAGACCATGGCCGTGCCAACGGCTGCCTGTGACTTCGAAAAATATAAAGGATACAAGCCTAATACATATACAAGGTGTCCATAAAGTATGTATGCACTGTTTGATCGTTAATATCTCCGTTCCCAGGGGGTCTTTTGCCGAGCGCTAAGCACCGTACTGTAGAGCTGGCTTCAACTTAGATCTACAGTATGGAGGAAATCGCCGGTTTCCTCTCATTACTGTAGGATTACGGTAGGAACTTCAAAGAGGGTTTTGAGCCACGAAAGGCCATATCTTGCCTCAGAAAGGAAACAAAACAGCCTGAAAACTTTTACACTAGGCTAATTAGAGTTGCTGATTCTAATTGTGAGGTTCCCAACTTATTATGATGCTTCATTGAAGAGTTATGCCAGGTAAAAGGTAGCGGCCATTTTTTCAATGTTCCTAAAAAGGGCGTTTACACCGTTTAGAAAGCTTCGCAATCTTGTGAATAGTTGAGTATTGAACTCAGCGTCCATAAAAACCCTATTACACAAGTTTTCACATTTTTTTTTGAAAAATTTTGAAACGTTTTTCCACATTGACACCATATGTTTCAAGTTTCTACCGTAATCCTACAGTAACAGTGAGTGATCGCTGATTCGCTCTATACTGTAAGTCTAAGTTGAAGCCAGCTCTACAGTACGGTGCTTAAAGCTCGGCAAAAGACCCCCTGGGAACGGAGATATTAACGATCAAACAGTGCATACATACTTTACGGACACCCTGTATAACCGCACTGTAATCTTAACACACACAAGATCTCCAGAAAAGATCTGGAACGAAAAAAGTATACACGATTCATGAGTAGAGCCTGGGCGCCGTTGCGCCCGAGCAAAATAGTTCGTGCATGGAAGAGACAGCAGATGGTAAGAGAGACGAAAGAGAGCGTGATCAGAGAGACGCCGACAGTCGATACGTCCGCAGTCTTTGCGTGCTACGAATCGCCTATACACCATTTTATTATTGTTTACTTATACTGTCATGATTATTTATGAGAATCTTCGCACGAAGTCATCAAAAACAGACCCTACCTCAATCCATGGTGGCCCGAGTCTGCAATTTCTATCACCATCGAAAGATGGCGGAAGGAAATCACATGAATAAACAGTATAAACCATGATTCTGAAATTCCTACAAAAGCAATTTCGTTGTTATATATTTTCATAGAATTTTGGCAGAATAAAGAGTGAAAATTCAACCTTTAGTGAAAAGCTTGTCCTATAACAACAATATGGCTGGTCTACGCAGCATAGATCCACAGTCTCGTGGCTGTATAGTCTGAGCAACATCAAAGCTTAATGAGCCATTTGCACGCCTTAGCTCCCTCCGCATGCACTGGTGGTTGGTAGGACCAGTCATAAAACATTTAATGTCTTGGAGTATAGTCTACTTTGATTTTTATTCTGAACCAAGCATCTGATCGATGGCTACAAATCAACCAGAACCAATGATTCCCATCAAATAGAGAATCTGGCTGGGAAAACATTGATTCTGCTTGGTTTACGTCAGCATGGGCAACAGTAAATCAATGTTTATCTTTCATTCCGCGATTCATTTTTGTCTCTGCGGGCCTGAACAAATCATGCACAGACCATGGCATTCTCCTGAATTAGGTTATGGAAGCATTTAATTACGAGGATTTTGTTGACTTTTTAAAAATATAGCATCGATACCTAAGTGAAGAAATGAAGAAATCCCATCTTCAAATCCAGATGATGTTTTGTTAGCCTGTTGTCGAATGGTGCAGCGGAAGACATTGACAAGCAAAGAAGAAAATATATCCTGTTGAATGGGTCCCAGAATTTCCGGGGAGGGGGGGGGGGGAGGCGAAAAAAAAATTCATCGAATGTGCGTAGCGTTAGCCATGCAATCCGAAATTTTTTTGGCATGATCCCCAAAATTTTTGCTCACCCATAACCCCAAAATTTTAGATAAAAGGGGCGCGGCTGCAGAGACGAGTCCAATTCTTTTTACACGGCCACTTCGAACTTTTAAAAAACTTTGGAATCACTTTTTGATTTACAAATGCAAACAAGTTACTTGCAGACTTTCCAAATTTTTATAACTTACGTAAGCAACTTTCAAGAAATCTACCCATTCTTGCCCCTCCCCTCCCCCCCCCCCCCCCCTCCCCTACCCCTCCTCCCTCGGACCGTCACTTGTATGAACATAATAAGTCGGTGAGAACTGCCCGAGTTTATTTTTGTAAACCGATTCTGACTAAGGAAAAAAATTGTTGCGTTTGATCTGAAATAAAACTTCAAAATGAGAAGGCTGGATCGAAATGAGTTTGAAACGTGATTGAAGGTTTGAAAAAAAAACTGAGATGCACGAGCAAGTTGTTCCAGATAGGCAGACACGTGAGTGGTTAGAACGTTGGGTCTCGAAGCGAAACAAACAACCGCCTATAGTTCCTCGCGACAACCGCTCGCGTCTGCCAGTGTTTAAGAAACGCCCGCCACGGAAAGTTAGGTTTCAACAGTCTGTAATTGTGTTTCATTCAAGCTTTGGGTACTTCTCCGTTATTCGGACTAATTTTTTAAAGAAGGATATTGCCTCTATCTTTGTACCGTATTCGGTCCCAGCTTCACATGAAGAAGTGTCAATGTTCTGCCACGTCTCAAAAATTTTGGCATGTTATCTACAAGTTTAACAGGTTTTACCAAGAGTTTGTGTTACCCTACCTAGCGGCGTAAGTTTAATCTGTTTTTAGTCAATTTTAACCTCATTTCGACCAAACAGTTTCAAAGTGAACATTGTCATAATAATAACGACATACTATCATCGATGAACAGATTAGACTTGCTCGAAATAGAGAAGTGCGCTAGAATTTCGTCATTTGAGAGGCGAAATAAGCAGCAGTAAGGCACTTCACTGTCATTCATAGTCTTTTCTAGCTAAATTCACATGGCGAAAAGGGTCAGAAGAGAAAACTATTTTGAATTACTGGCAAGCAAACAAGATGTTCTAAAATAAGTTCATGATTGTTTTGCTCTTGTGTAAAACAGTTAAACACCTTTGAAAGATCGCAAATTCTCTTTTACATCAAGAAATGATTTCGAAAAACATGTCAAAATCGACAAAAACGTGTCAAACTTTTTGTGACAAGTAGTAAGGAGGCATTCCTTGCAGAATCTATGAAAAATTATTCTTAGACTAAAGAACATATTTTATAAGAGAAGAAAATGGGTCAGTATAACGGAAAAGTACCATAGTTCAAAAGCCGTATTTAGCAAATGGTAACTCCAAGTAACTCTAAGACACCTTCTACTCTTTTCTGACGAATACCATAGGCAGCGACCGAAGTTGTGAGCTGGTGGACTGCCGGATAAATCGCGCCTTCTAACTGACGATTACAATTGAAATTCTCAACCATGAATTGAAGCGAAGTTGATTAACCACTACAGGGTGAATTTGAATCACATTAACACTAGCAATTTCGTCGGAAACACCAACTTCGCTTCGATGACTAAAACCTAGGCAGACGAGGATGATCCATAAGTATGAGGTTGGCTAAAATAATTACGTTTTGGTACGAAAATTTCATAGAAACTTTCATGATTGTTCCTTATTAATGATATTCTGTGGATGTAGTTCAAAGCTTCCTCTACCACATATCAACTACTCAGTATTTTAAATCATTATTGTTAGTCAGTTCTGCCCAAACACGGCTAAAATTCCAAGCTTTTTCTATCGAAGCTTCGTCTCATGCTCTAATGAATATAGAGCACAGCAATTTGGTATTCGGATATAGACAGGTTTTCCCTACATAGCGACTATCAATAAAAACTGTGATCTGCTGTTTCAAAATTCTTTGACCAAAAAAACAAAATTTCTCATATTTGCGCACATGAGAAATGGAGATTTCACACTTCTTTGTGGATTTCTTTCATTGCAAGAAGAAATTCTACTCAAACAAATTTTATGCCTCAATTCTCATTGAAGTGTTCTTTCCAGCCGTACCGAATACTGGATAAAAAATTATCTGCAACATCTGTAGGAGCCGCAAAACCAACTAAAATTATTTATCAGCCAACCCATAATTTCTAGCTCTTTACTGTAAAAAATCTTGAACGTTCATCTCTTTATCAACCAAACCATCAAACCATGCACTGGTAAACAGGATTTGACCGCAACCAGCACGACAGAGTCTAGCTATAAAAACTGCTACAAAAATCCATAAAAACGCGTGCACCTACCGCAAGAAAAACATGCTCTCCAGAATCATTTGTATCAAGTTCGCAGACTCTCAAATTGTAGATGCAATTTACTTTAGATCATGAATGCACTCACATTTATAATCCGCCCACAGTGAACTTTATCTCATTTATATCATAAGTATGTAAAATAAATCAAAATTTTTGTTGTTGTCTCTTTCCCTATGCATCCAGCGCGCGATAAAATTGTGAAAAAAGAGGTTGTTTTCTATTACCGATATGACTCAACACCGGATAATATTGTTGAGATGCAGTGATAGTACAGTTGAGTTTATCTGAATGTAAAGTCAACTGCACGCGAAATGGCCCGGATCGCTGTAGGCTGAACGCACGCGAGCGTGTCTGCAACGCGGCTGCCGTGTACGAACGCTATGATGACTCATGCGCGCGAATGCCAATGTTAGCCCGCAAGAGACACGCTCGCAGTCGTTCACTACGAGCGATCCCTGCAGTCAAATATTAGCAACTATACGCAACATAATTGTTTTACAAATGCTATTTTTGGCTACTTTGCACGTTCCCTCGCACTAATATTTTACTTTGATTTCTGGAAGACATACAACAGCTAAAAAAATTACCAAGCTCGTACGCAAAAAATATGCGTCATATGACCAGAACATTTTGGAAGCCAAACTATTCCTGGAATTTCTTGCGACTAATATATCAATTCCTGCAATCTCTTGAACCTTTCATTGTCGTTTTCCATGGAGCGCGGGAACTCACGAATTACATTAGCAGAAGCATCGCTCATTGTTGAAACCATGCTATAAACGCGGAATCAGCGCTTCTCGATAACGAAGACCACAAAAACATGCCGACCCTTTGGATTATACGCGCAATGTTCATGTTGTGTGCTGCACACAATGAAATTGGACCGATAGTAAGTGTAAAGCACAGCGGACTCTATACAATCACGAAATCATGTAAATTATCGTTTTTAGTAATTACTACACAGCTGAACAAAGCATCTAATTAGAATTTTGCAGGCCTGACACCTCTCAACACAGAACGAAAGCAAACCGAGAGACCATGTAGTACAAAAGACTAAGACCACGTAAGCTGACCAGCAGAGATGGCTTCGATATGTTTAATATATAGCATTTTGATAACTATTTCAACATTTTGAACATCTCATACAGACAGAAAGCGCGTATACATTGTACAAGAGCAAGTAAACAACAAGCAAACAATGCCTATAATACGTAAGACAATCTCACTCTCTTCATAGATTTCACAATAAATTATTATTACTTTATGAGCTATATCAATCAATCAATGACCCGATAAAATCAAAATGTGAATACTTAGCCGGAAACTGTTTACAATACTGCGCACAATCATCAAAATGACGACGGAAAGACGAGTGGAATCGAGGAGAACGGTAAGAGTGGCGTCGAGCGATCCAGCTGGGATGCAGCCGCGAAGCATTCCATTGCTTTGGTGGCATTTCCACGACGCATTAGACAAGAGCCCAGCTCTTGCCACCATTCACAGCACAGCGGATCGACGCGGACGAGTTCTCTGAAAAACTAAGTCATGAGACGAAAACTCAGAGCTTGACGAACAGATCAAGTGCCAGCAAAATTCTTAGGACTCCGACGAAGTGAATGATCCCAGAAGAAATCCCAGAGCTACGTCATTTCTTGTATACTGATAAAGGTGTGGGATTGTGCCATAAATACATGTAAGAACTTTTTTCGCATACGTACCAAAGCAACATGTGAATAGTCAGCCTCCACAAGCAAAACGCAAAATGTGAACTCTACAACCCCAAAAGTTGTCTCACCTGTACATCTGTTCAGCCATGGCATCATTCCCTTCCAAAGTGTAAAGTCCAGCTAAATGGAATAAACTAGCAGTATGCGAGGGGCAGTAGGCTAACGCGGACAAGAAGGACGCCTAAACAGCGAATGATCAATCTAAAACACAGAGGAAACCAATATCGCTCTTTTCTAGAAAACATACATTTGCTTCAGCTCGAAACTTGACAGCCGTAGCCTCATCTGTTGCCTTCTCTGCTCTTGCGGCGAATAACCGACCCTGAATGTTCGAATACAAATATAGAAAGATACACAAAAAATGAAACAAAAAATATATAAATAATGGTGATTGAATATGAATTTGTAGGGATCAAAAACAGTTCAGGAAAAATCAACCCACTTTCAAGTAAAGAGCTTGATGAGCATGAGGGAACAGAACTACAGCTTGTTCCACACAAGGCCCAACGTCATTCAGTCGTCCCTCAGCCAGAAACAGCTCAGCCAGGGCCATCCACATATTCGCCTAGACAGAGATTACAGATTACTGATTATATTACAAACAGGCAGTATGGCGGTTCTTGCTACATACTTCACACCATAATATGATAAGCATACCTGAGCTCTAAACCGAGACCAAGCAGCACTAGTGCTCCCAGCAGCTCCACCGCTTTCACTAGAAGTTGACTGACCACCAACCTCAGAACCTGGCACACCGCTGTCGACAACTGCAACAGCAATAAACTCGTGTATCCAAAACTATCAAATAAAAACCTACCGGAGACTGCGATATCAAGCCCTGATTGGCTGCTGGCAGCATTTGGATTTAGCATCGGGTTTGAAATACCTATACCTAGCGGAGTAGCGAAAATTGGGGTTGATGAAGATAACTCTCGTCCTACGGAAGGTGTCCCTAAGAAAATAAAATCAAGAAGCTGAGAAAGTGTATTGCACTAACTCGGGGACCAGTTCTCGCATATCCAAATAGCTTACCCGCTTTCAAACTCGCAGCATCCTTTAGCATACTTTGGCCATCTGTAGCACTCAATGTTGATTGTAGCCGCTCATCTTCTATATAGCAGTCTCTCTTTCGCCAGAAATCCAGCAAATGTGTGCACGTGTCCAACGATTCGTCAATTCGACCTTAGATCTCCCAATTATTGAAAAAAAAGTAAGAGTGATAGAAGTCCCTACCAAATTTCGTTTCGATATGTAACCGCAGGACGAGCAATCCATAATGTGTTGGAAAATCTTTCATTGCATTTGCGACCAGTTCTAACGCGCCCTGAATAATCCTTAAATTTGGAACCAATCACTATCAAAGATGGAAAAAATGCAAATTCGATCGATGAAGCTTATCAACGATTTATCGATCTACTACGTGACCTGCTTTTGCGATACGTCCCACATAAAAAGAAGACAATTAAAACTCGCAGTTATCCTTTGCATATCAGGAATCTAACTGAACAAAGAAACCGGTTATTCTCTAGTATCCAAAACCCATTAGCATCTGCAAGTTACAAGAACGTTACAGAGGAACTATCCAGACATTTAGCCAAATTTAATGCGTATAAACAAAGAAGACTAACCAATATGAGCGCTGTGTCCTTGTTCAAATATGCTCGTTCATTTTGAACTGTGCAGACATTAAGGGATGACCAAGGTAACGCGATCAGAAGCGATCAAGAAAAAGCTGAGCACTTAGGGCGCTATTTTGCGTCCGTATTTCGAGCTCCAACAACTGTCTGTTCAAACAATGATTTTCTGCGAGCTAACATTGGACAAAGACATTCTTATCTTTCTCAGATTCCACAAGTGTTTCCTTGGGAAACAGCTAGCCTTCTGAAGAAATTGAAGTCATCCACGTTTTTGACTACTGATGGTATTCCCCAGATTGTATTCAAGAAGTGTGCCAATCAATTGGCAATTCCCGTTTCTATACTGATTAATCTCTCTCTGAGCATTGGTGAGCTTCCAAATATATGAAAGCAAGGAAGAGTTGTACCAGTGCCAAAAGTTCAGAACCCGCGTAAAGTTACCGAATTTCGGCCTATAACTATTAACTCTGTTGTTTGTAAAGTTGCTGAGAAGATTATTAGAAGTAAATTATTGACATATTGTGCACAGAACCATCTCATACCCGCTGAACAATCTGGATTTATTGCTGGTTCCTCAACTACCCTTCAACTATTGGTATGTGGACATTACTGGAAAAAAGCTTTATCTCAAAACCGAGCTACTGATGTTCTTTATTTTGACTTGTCCAAAGCTTTTGATAGAGTAGACATTCCCAAATTGATTGAAAAGCTTTTTGGAGTGGGAATTCGTGGCCCCCTTTTGAAATGGCTCTCATCTTATTTGTCTGATAGAACCTTTTCCGTCCGCTGTAATTCTGCTACCTCTTCGATTTTCCCAGCAACAAGTGGTGTGCCACAGGGTTGTGTACTGTCCCCTGTCCTTTTCAATATCTAAACAAGTGATCTTCCTAGTCTCCTATCTACCGACAACAGAGTTAAGATTATGGCCTATGCTGGTAACATCAAAGAATTTGCATCATATACGGATGCTGATAGGGAGGAAGTAACACAGTGCCTGCAAAATTCAGTGCAAAATATGTTACGCTGGACAACTACAAATAATATTGATGTAAACCTAACTAAAAGTGCTTGCTTGACGATCACAAGAAAAAGGGTGGATAAATGCACTTTTGAAGATTATGGGGACTCTGACACCTCCCCCCTCCCCTAGAGCTGAACTTATAAGGGCCGCATGCACTAACCTCCCCGCTGGGGAGGGGATCGCAGCTCAAAAGAAAACTTCATATTCTGAAGCTCCAGATATCTGGATTTCACATTGTGTACCCATCCGTAAGTATTCCTACTACCCTTCGCTATGAACACATTGAACAGGAGCGAGACGCTGCACAAGCCGCATTTTCCAGTTTTTGTATGATCCCTGGTGATCCCCGGTGCTTTTCTTCAAAGTCATTTTTCTTTCTTTGAAGTTGACGAAAATCTTCCGAAGTTGTGCTGATTATCTAACACAACAGTGCTAAGCATATTAGTGATGAGAACAAATGAGTTTTGAAAATTCGGATTTTTCGGTGAACTCCAATTTTCGACCTGTGGTTCATCGCAAATTTCATGACTCCGGTACATCACTTGTTCTTATCAGCAACATGCTAAGCAGTGTTGGATTAGATATTATGCACAACTTTGAAAGCTTTTTGTTAACTCTGGAGAAAGAAAAATGACTTCAAAGAAAAGCGCCGGGGATCATCAGGGATCATACAAAAGCTGGAAAATGCGGCTTGTGCAGCTTCTCGCTCCTGTTCAATGTGTTCATAGTGAAGGGTAGTAAGAATACTTATGGATGGGTACACAACGTGAACTCCAGATGTCTGGAGCTTCAGAATATGAAGCTTTGTTTTGAGCTGCGATCCCCTCCCCAGCGGGGAGGTTAGTGCATGCGGCCCTAAGAGACCTTAGAGTTCTGGTGGACCATGACCTTCGGCTTAGATCCCATATTGAGAAAATAGCACGTGCGGCCCTGCACAGAATGTTCCTTTCGCTGCGTAACTTGAGGCATGTTCATGAGAATGTTTAAATTAGAACGTAAATGGCTTAAGTTCTTCCGCATCTAGAATACGCTAGCCAAGTATGGAGTCCATATATAAAAAAAGATATTCTGACCTTAGAGAATGTTCAGATGACATTTACTCGTATCCTTTTCTGTAGACTTTTTCCTAATGACAATTACCCTGTTGCCCTTCCATCTATAGATGCAGGTTGCAACGCTTTAAACTCCATAGCTTGCTTTACCGAAGAGTGGTGGCCGATTTAGTCTTTGCGTTTCAAATCATACATCTTGAAACCAAACTTTTGCCCAGTGAATTTTGGATGTGGAAACCTTGCCATGGACGGAAAAGTAGGTTTAACTTTTGTTGTTCTGTAACAGATACTTCTCAGCTTTCAAATACGCTTTCGCAATTCCTTTTTTGTTCGCACTGCACGCTGGATGCAAAAATTACCAGATTCCGTTTTGTCTTCTGCTAACTCAAAAACCTTTAAAGAGAAACTTTTGAAATGTGATGTTTTGAGTATGTTAGGGATTGACGAGTCTGATTACTTCTAGATGTTGAGCTCCTCTTTCTTATTGTCTTTTTTTTTCGCTTTTCTTGTCTGTGTCCTTCCAGAATATGGCTGAGCTTCTGCTGCCTGCTCGTTTTGGCGGTTGCACTTCTGTCATAGTCTTTAGTCTGAAATGCTTGCAAGGGAGTTTAGCTTATTCTTCTCTTTTTGGCTGTTTTTCCTCGTTTTCCTTTTTCAGATCCTTGCTCTCGGTTGGCCTCATATTTCGCCTCTATTGTTTGACAACTCACGTTGGGCTGGTGATTCAGTGCATAATTTTGCTTTAGTTCGTTGATAGATGTTCCGTTTTGTTCACATGATAGTTTTCTGTTGATTTTGCTTATATCTACTGGAAGTTGATCGGTAACACATTTGTACGGTTTGGGTCTGATTTTCTTTGAGCGGTTATCTAGGGCTAGCCTACGAAGACTGCCCGAGTATATTTATTCTCGAGCTCATTTCTATTCATCTCTAATGAGTTTGTGGCTCATCCATTATGTCGGTAGCGCGGGGGTTGCCTAGTTTTGTTGAGCTAGCATACCCATTTTCATTTTCATTGTCTACGTCATACTCCTGGAAACTAGGTCGCTTGCTGGTCGAGCAAGGGTGGCATCCCCGAACTCATGTGAACAATTCTTATGGCGGCTTCTAGTAGCTAAACCTTAATGTCTTTTTCTATTATATTGGATCTAGATCGACGAATGTCCTTATTCGATAATAGTACCTTTTCTGTTGTTCGAGTTCCAACACTGTTTTTTCTCATCTGCTGGTTACTAATTTGCTGTTGTAGCGCCTTTGGCGTAATAAATAAATAAATAAATAAATAAATAAATAAATAAAAACGAACCTTGAGATCACCCTCTGCTGTAAAAATAAGGGCTAGTAACATGATAGCACTTGGTTGTTCTGGATTGAGTTCCAGTGATCTAGCACACCTTTCTCTTGCTGCTTCAAGATCTCGAACTGAAGAGTTACACTTTCAAATACGAAAAAGGATAGCGAAAATTGGTTTCCATAAACACGTATATGTTAAAGCACAGATGGAGCAAAGCCAACCCAAAGATCAATGCTCCCGAAGTTACCAGTTAGATATAGATTGCAATTAATATATCAAACTGAACTTACCAATAGCATGGTACAATGCACAGTAGTAATGAGCTAAATAGTCGTGTGGATCCGTGTTTACACAATTTTCAAACATTGTGAGAATTTTTTTCAACATTCGGCGACGTTCGTCGAAGCATGGCTCAGCTTGCGCACGCCGTCTGAAATAGTAAAGAGGGATAGATTTAGCCTAGCGTGCACAAAAAAGTAACACTCATTCTGAACATTGTTACTAAAAAGATATCCCCATTGCACAAAAAAAGAAAGGTGAAATCCTCCAAAAAGAATTTGATTTGAGAAAAGATGCGAGCATTATGAAGGCAAGAGCAAGGAAAGATAAATGTCGAAAGATATAGCAGACAAAGAAAGAAAAGTGATGTTTCAACTGCAAAACAGCACATCGGAAGTTAATAATAAAACACGCAAAGATGCTTACCCATTCGCTATAGCAAGTAGAAGCTGAGCCCTTCCTTTCAAAAACTCTAATGGACCTTCAGAGCACATTTGCACCGCTTTTGCAGCATGGCTGACCGCTGAAATGATTATTCGATCATTTGCGAGCGATCAAACTCGGTAAAAGTTCGCAAATATGATTCAAACCACACAGCACTCTCGAAGACAATATCCAGGTCCGTTTGTATAACTAAACTTCTTATGCGGATAAGAGTAAAGTAAGTAGTCAATGCCTCGAGTGACAACTCACTCAGTTTAGCTGATATTATCACTTGTGGCCGAGAAATTCGAAGCTAGACTCCCACTACCGTATTCGAGCTGACAATTCGCCGTTCCAACTACGGTATTGGACAGGAGTTCAAGACTAGATATCTCGGCTACGAAGAAATCGTTTCAGTTGCCACCAGAGCAGTGGCCTACTTGACCCTTTTATCAGCGCAAGTAAGTAAGCCAGATGCCCAGACATTGCTTCTTCAATAGGCTTGACTTGCTCACCTGCATCATTCTGTCCAAGATGCTCCATATGCAATACAGCGGCTTGCATGTGATGCATGACAGTATTATTTGATGAGCCGGGTTCAGCAGTCTCGTTGCCGTGATTCACTTGATGTCCATCCTTCGTACCAGCTGCAATACATTGTTCCAATACTCGCACAGCTCTCAGGAATTTGCCACGGCACACCAGAGATAAGGCGAATTGTTGCCTAAAAGAAGGTATTCAATGAAGCAGTTGAAAATGGGATGGAAGAGCAAAATCAAAAAGCCGTGAGTGAGCCACTGACGTGTGTCAGCTCTAGTAAAAATCCAAATGCTCAGAATGAGAGATCTAATTGGATGATTGCGAGATCTTGAATGCTTTGCGAGTAAACAATGAAATACTCTACTCATCGAGCACATTAACGCTTCCGACCGGTGCTGCACAGGGTGCAGCACGCTGCTATGGAAAATCTTTTTGACGTTTACAGGAAGTTTTCTATTAGTCCAAGGTTATCAAATCAAAGCTTCTACTTTTCGAATGACTCTGTAGAGTTGCGCCGCCGATACTTGTTCAGGAGATATGAGCACAAACCGAACAACAGTTGCAACGAAGTGCGGCAGCGCGAACGACGCGTGCGACGTCGCAACTTCTCTTTGCTTCGATATCAAAGAGAAAACCGTAGTTTTAATACTGATGTGTACAGTGTACAACATAGATACTTTTGGATACTATTAGAAACTGAGTCCTTGTTCCTATCATTCAGGAAAGCACAGAAATCCTTCTCAAGCGACAAAATTCAAACACTTCAAATACACTCAGAACTTCGGGTATGTTATTTGACAAGCTGTTTACAGATGTAGCACACGTCTACAAAATAAGGTCCCTTTGTTGGCTAACGGCTGAAAGTGCACTCTTTTTCGCCGCGCGATTTCGCGGTCCGAAACGTGTTAATATGACTGAACTTTCAACTAGACAGATAATTAATTTGTAGCCAACTGAAGATAACTGCCTTAACGCAATACAAAGCTCTAGCACTTTTTCCGAAAATCGGTTATTAGAATAGGAAGTAAGACAAGATAAGATAAGATAAGATAAGATCAGTTTACCCAAAATAAGTGTTCAATGCCATCAACACTCTCCCTGAAAAAACTCACTTCGCAACTCACCAAAGATATTCATCCTGATTTACAAACTTCATTGCTCTTTCGTACACAGTTGATAGGAGATGATACTGTCGAAGCGTTGATAAAACCTAGAAGGATTCTTGCAAAACTCGTAGCAGGAAAATATATGACAAAATTTTACAATTTGATCAAAATGTACTTTCTACGCTACGATATAAAAGTGGCGTAGGATTCGCCGACGTGGACGAATGCTTCACTGAGATGGTGAAATCATCGTTCTTCAGTAGACTCCCTTCCCTTCCTAAGCTAATTGAACATAATGCAAAAAGTTCTAAATCATGTAAGAAGCGATCTATGCGCAAAAAGAAACGAAGTTAAGTTTGGCTAATGCAGCACAAACGATAGCGCATTACATCTTGCCTTCCGTATAAAGCTCCGTTCAACATTTCGCGCTCAAGTAAGCGCGAAAGTCAAAGTCAAAAAAAAAACACTACTAAAACCCCCTTTTCTTCACAAATCTTCGACCTCATGACTCACTTCCATGCTAAGTGCATAAAAACAAGTTACCAAAGTGAGCAAGTTGTAGACAGACTTCGCAGTCCTTATTGATTGATGTCTCGACGACGATAGATCTGCGCTTCTATTCAGTACCACTTCTCTCGTTGACAGCACCTAAATTCCACAAATTCATCAGAACAGCCAAAATTCAAATATTGTCAAAGACAACCCAAAGAATTTAGTTCTACAAAGATGCAAAATGGGAGGACAGTCGGAGATCGAAACGATGCCAACCGCAAGATTATAGTATGTTAATCGCTGTTTGCGCAGTCGTAATCGGACGTCAACTGGGAAACTGGTCGAAGATGTCTCGAATTATTGCAGATGATCATTTTCACATGATAAAATCGACACTGATGTAGTAGTATTCTTTCAGCGGCTCTTAGAGAGCTTCGGGTTTTGGGAGTATGGAAACAGGAGAAGCCATAATACAAGATGTATTAGGTTGTACCGAAAGTTCGTTCGCACCATTTTCAAAAATTCATAGCTCTTTAAATTCTCAACGAAGTTGTACGGTCAAAATTTTCGTAAGAGAAGAACTTATGCCCTTTGCAATTGTGCTTGAACTGTTCGTTAATGTGCACATATGAAGGAGATAGAAGCTCAAAAACCAAAATCACTCAAGATTTGAATTTTTTGTGTAGGGTCATAAAAAATCGGAAACTTGCAACAAAAATCGGAGCAGTCGGCATTGTAAGTTCTTTCACAAGCTCTTTCTAACAGTGCAAAGTTTGCACTGATTGAGCGTTTCTATGAAAACTTATGATTTCCCTAAAAAATGCCAAAATAAATCAAATTTGCCCTTTTGTATTGGTTGCTCGAAAATCGTAACTTCTCATAAAGATGCTCAATCGGCGCAAAGCTTGCACAGTTAGAAAGAGTAGCTAGAATAACCTACAATATTGACAGCTTCGATTTTTACTGCAAGTTTCCGATTATTTATGACCCTACACGAAAAATTCAAATTTTGAGTGATTTTAGTTTGAGCTTCCATCTCTTCCATTTGTAAACATTAACAAACAATTCAGATACAGATGCAAAGAGCATGAGTTCCTCTCTTACGCAAATTTGGCCGTACAACTTCGTTGAGAATTTAAAGAGCTATGAGTTTTTGAAAATGGTGCGAACGAACTTTCGGTACAACCTAATATGTTGTCATATTGAAGTTTAGAACAAAGGCTCTAAATAAGACATTCCACACATGAGCGATTCGACCGCTGAAGTATAAAGCAAACTCCTAACAGAAAAAAGGCAAGAAGTTCAATGAAAAGGAAATGCTTGCAAGATTTGAGCACAATATTTTGAAAGAGCACTGAAGCGATACATGTCCATGCACCTTAATATAACTACCACATCGCTTGAGCAAAGACGTTAAAAAGATGTTGATTCTATGAGACATCGTCACAGTCGCCTTTCTAATGAAAGAAATATCAGAACCGTGCGAAGGACAATGGACGGCATTTTGAATTTTGCAAAGATGCAATGAAGCAGATGAGACAAGTGCTATGAAGAAGAGGCGTCAAACTGATATGATTTCGAAATGTGAAAGGGATGGGGGAGGGGGAAGAAGAGGGAGAAAGAGGGCAGACAATATTTTGTTTGATATAGAAGTAAAGCTGATTTTGATGTGAGATAACCGAATCAATTAACAATAGGGATTTCTGAGGAAAAAAAGGAATTCCTAGCAAGAAAAGACACTTGTTTGAACTGATTAATTTGAAGGCCATTTCCAAAAATCCTTCCAAGTCACCTAGTGAAAGGAATGAAGGGAAATACTCGAGAAATCGAGTGACAAAGGCTAAAAAAAATGACAAGTTCTGAAAGCAGACTGATTTTAATCGCATTTGGACTCACAAATCTGTGGGGTGATCTGATAGCATGTTAAGCCATGGAACAAATTTTAGACTTTCAGACACACTGATCGTCCAATGCTTTCGGTGACCCATTTCCCGCAAGTAAAAAGCGAAACAGAACCGATGCAAAAGCCAAGGCAACTTTGAGAGCAAAAGCATAAAGAAGGCGCCCTCGGCGCGTTCTACGGTTATGCTCCGGTTACCAATTAACGGATTAATTTGTCGTATGCGAAGAGCTAGAAGGTTGGTTGCCGCAGATGCTGATTGAATCTTTGATCCCGAGGCTTTCAAGCATTCTGCGCGTAACATGCTCTAGAGGGATATTCTGCAGAGTGATTTTGGAAGAATCAAAGTTATATATCCTTCATAAAAAAGCAGAATATCAAGATTTGGGAAAGGTCAAGCATCAAACAACAGGAAGAAAGGAAGCAAGTCGAAAGCAGATGAGCGAACATGTGAAACATGTTGAAAAGACCAAAGTGAAAGACGGGGGAGCAAGCAAATCTCAAGATGACTAGAGGGACAAATGATTATGGGAATATGACCACAAACATCCCGAAAAATGTGATCGAAGGATTTTGCGTCATGCTAAGAAGCGCTGTGGCTAGGAGTGGGGTATTTATAAAAGAGTGACAATTTCTCAAAGAGAGACACTAATTAAACTAGCAAAAAAGGATGCATGACTTGAGATTTTCAGAAAAAAAGCCTCTATGAATCCCAAGCAAATTTATTAATTACATGCATATCAATCATTGAATTCAAATAGGAATGGGTGCGCCTTCCCACGACACAAGATTTCAATGACTGGTTAAAATGTCACTCGAGTATAACATAGTGCCCTTGCACCCTCAACGGGTAGATTACCACATAATGTCGGACTGGTGAGCACGTCCTTTCCATGTAAAATAAAGATAAAAACTCAACTAGTTCAAGAACTTGGAGCTAACAAAGATCAATGCTATTGATCGAAGCAATCAAAAAGAACATCTTATATATAAAGCTGAATGTCTGTTTGTATGTCTGTCTGTATGTATGTCTGTATGTATGTATGTACGTACAGTGACCGCCAAAAAGTTGCGGAATAGCCTCCCTCCCTTTTTCATCCCTCTACTTCAGAAGGAAAATAAGGATAAAAAATGTAGTAATTGCATGTGGTGATAGAGCTCTTCAAGATCTACAATCTACACTTTGCGTTTTTCGAAAAACATGTACTCTAAAAATTTCAAAAAACTTTTTCTAAAAAAAGTCGGAAAATGAACGCGTCATAATATCGCGGACAATAATTCTTCGAACGCAAAAATTTTCTTTTGAGTCCTATTCTGAAGTGGAAACACAAGTAGTCCAAACGGGTAAGCACACTAATATACAGAGCTCGTCAAGAACTACACACTGGTTATGGTTGCTTCCCAAAAAAACACAAGCTTGAGTTTTATTTTGCTTTTTTCAAAAATAACTTCTATTTCTTCTTTTCAAGCCAAGTTTCCTTACATGGAAACCTATTCACGACATTCCAACAACTCTGTTCGGATAAAGTAGATGCTCTTTACCATTCTCCATGCATCTGACGTGTGCTGATGAGTTTCTTTGCTGAAAATGGCTTCTGACAGTGCGTGTACATGACCCCACCTGCACCTCACCACTGATTTGTAACGTTTGCAGGCTTGTAACTAGGCTTGTTGTCAATTTGTGAGCCTGCAATTAGGCTCATTCGAAAGAACGAGACTTCCTCTACAAGACGATATGCAAAAGAGATGGGTGTAAGAAACAGCGGAGATTTGGCGGATGGGTTGGAGAAATGTGGCCTCAGTGGTGGTTGGAGTGAAGGCTCTTATCAACACCAAATCAGTTCTAGAGCTTCAAAATGGATCTATTACAAGAACATTGACAGTTTTAAGCTTCCAGGATTGAACTGGTAGCAAAGAAGCTCTATTCAACTTTAGCTGGATATCCTCACCCTACCACGGAGGCCGCATTTTTCCACCCCATCCGCCAAATCTCCGCTGTTTCTTACACCCATCTCTTTTGCATATCATCGTGTAGAGGAAGTCTCGTTCTTTCGAATGAGCCTAATTGCAGGCTCATACATTGACTACAAGCCGAGTTACAAGCCTGCAAAGCGGTAAAGTCAGTAGTGAGGTGCAGGTGGGGTCATTTACACGCACTGTCAGAAGCCATTTTCAGCAAAGAAACTCACCAGCACATGTTCGATGCATAGAAGATGGCAAAGGGCATCCATTTTATCCGAATAGCTTTGTTTGAATGTCTTGCATGATTTTCCCTGTGAAGAAATTTGGCTTGAAGTGGGGAATTAGAAGTTGTTTTTTTGAAAAGAAGCAAAATAAAATTCAAGCTTGTGTTTTCTGGGAAGCAACCATAACCAGTGTGTAGTTCTTGACGAGCTATGTATAGTAGTATGCTTACCCGTTTGGATTACTTGTGTTTCCGCTTCAGAATGGGACTCAAAAGAAAAATTTTGCGTTCGAAGAATTATTGTCCGCGACATTGTGACGCGGCCATTTTCGGACTTTTTTTAGAAAAAGTTTTTTAAAATTTTTAGAATACACGTTTTTCGAAAAACGCAAAGTGTAGATTGTAGATCTTGAAGAGCTCTATCACCTCATGCAATTACTACATTTATTTATCCTTGTTTTCCTTCTGAAATAGAGCGATGAAAAAGAAAGGGAGGCTTGTCCGCAACTTTTTGGCGGTCACTGTATGTTCCGAATAGAAAATTCCATTTCTGAACCGATCCGGACCAAACTTGGCACACATACACTACGGGCCCCGGCGGGTGTCATAGGCTACTTTTCGTCATCGATCGATATCGATTTTATTGATTTTTATCGATTTTTTTGCTGAGTTCACCTACGGGGCTGGGAGTTGGCACAGGGGGGTAATGGAGCATGGGGATTCCGAATACAATATTGGTTTTCAGGATTATCGATTACTTTTATCGATTTTATCGATTTTTTTTGCAAAGTTTGAGCTACGGGGCTGGGAGTTGGCACAGGGAGGTAATCGAGCATGCTGATTCCGAATACAATATTGGTTTTCAGGATTATCGATTACTTCTATCGATTTTATCGATTTTTTGCGAAGTTTGAGCTACGGGGCTGGGAGTTCGCACAGGGGGGTAATCGAGCATGGGGATTCCGAATACAATATTGGTTTTCGGGATTATCGATTACTTTTATCGATTTTATCGATTTTTTTGCAAAGTTTGAGCTAGGGGGCTGGGAGTTGGCACAGGGGGGTAATCGAGCATGCTGATCATCCCCAAGGGGGGTGATCAGCATGCTCGATTACACCCCTGTGCCAAATTCCAGCCCCCTAGCTCAAATTTTCAAAAAATCGATAAAATCGATAAAAGTAATGGACGATCTTGAAAACTAATATTGTATTCGGAATCCCCATGCTCGATTACCCCCCTGTGCAAACTCCCAGCCCCGCAGGTCAAACTTTACAAAAAAAATCGATAAAATCGATAAAAGTAATGGACGATCCTGAAAAATATTGTGTTCGTAATCAGCATGCTCGATTATCCCCTGTGCAAAATCCCAGCCTCGCATGTCAAAATTTACAAATCGATAAAATCAATAAAAGTAATCGATAATTCTGAAAACTAATATTGTATTCGGAATCCCCATGCTCACTTCCCCCCCTGTGCCAACTCCTAGCCCTGTAGGTGAACTCTGCAAAAAAATCGATAAAAATCGGTAAAATCGACATCGATCGATAACGAAAAGTGGACTGTGACATCCGCCGGGGCCCGTAGTGTATGTGTGCCAAGTTTGGTCCGGATACGGCGGAGCCGGGTAAGCCAGCTAGTATCTTCTAATATTTTAGCAGATGCAAATCTTGTGCGAACGAAGAAATTCGATGAGATGCTGCTGAGAAAAACGAAATTCTCACCTCACTGATTAACAACAGGAGAATGACTTCTTCCGTTCGCGATGCTGGTGCAAAGTATCCTTTATGGGATCCCATGTAAAAACTGAAATCATCAAGATATCTCTAAAGATGTCCTAGCATTGAAAGGTTTCAGCAATAAAAAGTATTTTGAATTAGCCGATTACATTATTCAACACTTAATTGTGTGAGAATCAGAAACATTAGCCGAGAGGATGCCTTAAAAATTCAACACTACATATTTTTGCAAAGAAATTGGTGTAAAATAGTAAGGTAAGTGATATAAAGTCTCACCTCACAAGCGAACCTAAATACAAGGAATTGGGTATATAAGATGGGTCTACACGCCTTACTACGGAGCTGTGAGGCCTCAATGTTTCCAACTACACACACCACCGCTTACAAATGAACGTATGCGTCTAGAGCGAAACATATGAGAGGAACATGCTTTGCTAAACCATACAACAATGTTGTTCAATGACGCATCGATAGCATTGCATGACGAGGTTGAGGAAATGCATGGTCAAGACAAAAATATTCATCTAGAACATCAAATCAAAATTTGCCAAACTCTGCCAATGAAGAATTGGGGGTTCAGAAAAGTAGGAGATACAAAAAAGAAATAGACAACAACGTACCTCAAGTTTTGACTTTTCATGCTGACTGCTTGACTGGTAGTGCCACACCGACCATCAGCTGGTACTGCTCGCAAAAGTAACTCAGCGAACTGTCTTGACATTTTCTGTTGCAGTCTTTCACCGGTCGACTTATCACCAAGACACGTTATGATCCGACGATACCTATAGTTCGCATGTAAGGAATTCCCTTAGGAGCAAACAATGCAAACAAATAAGAAGGGCAAGAATTATGACTCACCACTCTATGCCCTCCACATTGCTCTTCCGTTCTATTGCAGAGTCTCGAACACGCAAAGCAGCTACCCTTTCCAAGCAACACTCAAGAATATCACCTAAAATACAGCTCTTAAGCGAAAATCCATCCTGTGCTACAATAACTCACCAAGTTTCTCAGATTTCTGTGTGGGTGAAGGTGTAGAGGGGTTGCCTAAACGATTAATCTAAACGAAAACACCAAGGATCGGTCAAAAGTTGCCAACCTTTCCCAGTACCGCTAACAATATTTTTCTCTATCTCTCCGACATAGAGGATGGCTAGCTCAGCAGCTTTTTCGTAGCAGAACAAGGATTTCATCTTATCCATGGCTTTGTCGTTGCCTTCTAATGCTTCTAGACAGAAACCTAAATATGCGAAGAAATATATAAGATAAAAAGGTAGTTTAAAAGACAGAGCCGACCTTTGATAGCATAGACCTCAGCGACTAGTCGTAAGGCTCGCAGCGTCCGAAACTGCGTGTTGGCAAGCTCCATCCCAGAGTTTTCGATATCCCTCAGTGCCTGAATCACGAGAAAGTGATTCAGAAATGACGAGCACAATTCCAATGAACAACACCCTGCCGTATATCCGGATCGCACCGTTTCATCCAAAATCTCATAGGGCTTCTCTATAGAGAGATGCATTGCAGACAATAAACATAAAATGTTAATCTTTGCCATTAACTACTACATTTATGTTTGAAACTTAAAAAGATACAGCCCAGATATCAGCGTATATCCTAGCAAATGTGTCCCTACTGTTTCCTTTTCTATCCAACACTAGAAGGCTTACTTACAGAGCCCTATATGGGCAAATAGATCAAAATTGTGTTTGACTGAATAAATTGATACATATGAAAAAGCAGAATATGAAGACCCCAGATGCACGGAGATGCGCATTTGTAGATATGCAGATGCCAAAGTTCATAACGTCAAAGCAAGCTAGCGGCTTATTACCTGTGAGTACTCAGCCGTGGCATAGTGCAGCTTTGCTAATAACAAATGCGCCTCCAAAGTTATGCCACCATCACGCCGATCAATTGTCTCCTTCAGCAGCAATTCCGCCTCACGCAATCCATTTGCGTAGTCACGTCGAGGTCGAAGTACCTCTAGAAGGAAACGTAAAAGAGCACAACAGTACCAAAAATGTTGACTACCTCCTTGCTGTTCGAGAAACTGTTCCAGCTGTAATTCTGCTTCGACTAACTCTACCATATCATCCATTCCAGAATGTTTTGATTTCATTGCTTGGAGCAGTTCAGAAAGACGTTTCCAATTACCTTAATGATAAAAAGTTTTGGAGTTGAATGAAAGCGTTATTGATACTTACTATCAGCCCTGGCCCTATCGACTTCTGCTTCCAGCCGGCTTCCACGGAGTTTAACCGCCATGGTGGAAGCTATGGCACGTTATGAGGAGACTTCCCTAAGACAACGTATGAGTGGATTCTATATGATGAGTTCCAGATCGAAAATAAGCGACACTATATTTTACAAAAATTTGCTCGAAGAAAACTGTAAAAAGGGAGCTTTCATGCAGCTGCACAAACAGGTTCATACAAAGGCAAGTATGGTCAGTACAGCTGACAATCGATCATTGATTATAGTGAGATTAACAATACCAAAGTCCTGCTCGTGATGTTTTTAAACAAAAGTGCACCAAAGTTGGACCAATTTCAATCAAATTTCGAAATCGCGTACTCATATGTGGTCGAGGTAGTCACAAATGCTGATAGGATAGAGCAATGCAGATGTTGACAAAGAATATGACGTAGTATTCAGCTAATCAATGTTAATGATAGCTATTAATTGGCTCGATAACATACAAACACCATCAGCTGTACCGCCACGCTCCGAAACACCCGCGATGAACCTTCTGAACCAGTGCAGCGGATTAAGTTCCTGCATAAATTGAGATGCGCTAGGGAATGCGGATCAATTAATCATTTCCAATATTTGGTGTAGTACAGTCAGTAGATATTGAAATGATGAAATGATAAGGTTTTCATCCTCTTTGCAGGGACAACACAAAGTAATTTTAAACTTTATAACAACTACAACTTGCAAACATATAAACAACAAAATTAAACAAACAACTATCTCCAAAAAGCTTACTTGGTAAACGCTGACTAACAAATACGCTAATGCACGTTAAAGAAAGACAATTCTGGGCTCTTATGACATTTTACTGCTTTCCATCTTCTGAAGATGCTCCACCATGAAATTGCTGGCATCAATCATCCGATTAACGCAGTTCTTTAAAGTCAGTCACGTAGCAAAAATAGAATGCACAACAACAGCCGCATTACCTGAAGACATGTGGCTGTTTTGCCATCAAGCTTACTAGGCGGTTTGGAGTCGGCAAAACAAACATCCCAGCATCGTCCGGTTAGTGTGTGTACCTTAACAAATAGCGATTATCAGACCTTTGCACTAAGCTCATCCTAACTTTCCCAAATTCGAAACTAATAAAAAAAACAAATTACTCGAACTACTCGATGAGGGCATAGGGGGGCATTCTAACAAAAAGGATTCTTGCCATCATCAATCCATATCTGCCATCTTTACAACGAGAACGATTATTGTAATCACGGCATCCTTCGAAAGTTATGCAGTAAACCTGCAGTGAGAATCCTACCGACAGCAATTCAACACGCATTGTCAAGGAAAAATCCTGTGGACTGTCTTCACTACGAACAAGCAGAAAAAGTGAAAAAAAATCTAAAAAACTATTCTACTCAATTTATCTGTACTCTTTTACAGGATATGACACGCGGAGAATTCGCGCATGTATGGAACACGTTTTATTCTAACAGATTCACGAGATAAAAATTTAAGAGGGGCAAAGTGCATTTGTTCGGAGTTTGTTCGGCAATAGTAAAACACCCCTAACATCATGAAGTGAAACCGTAACGAAGGAAGCTTAGCAAAAGAGGAAGCTGCTGACACCATAACTCACATAAAATGCATTGAACAGATGAAGAAGTACGACAAATGCTGAGTAAAAACTTGATGTTATGCATAAAGTCATTACCTGTTCAGTGAACTTCTGCCTTTGCGTTTCTGACTGGAGCTGCTGGAGAAATCGTGCTAGCTGGGGATCTGTCTCCATGTCTAAATAACCTAGTCCATATGCTCAATAAAAGCAAACGATACTCGTTCATGCACAAAAAAAGATAGTGAGACGATAACCGAGAACACATGTGCAACAGCTATGGATCAGATTTATTAGCCATAATGACATAGTATACAGAATGAGACGATTCCGTGTCGAGCATCTTTGCAAGATATTCTGAAACATTCGAGTTTAGATTAGTACACAGGATCAAGGTCAACACATAAATATAAAGAATCAGTTCGAAAGAAAGCATGTTTTTCTTTCAGTTTATATCTTCCTATCTTTGTGTGTTGCCTATTTTCACATGAAGCACATTTAACTGCACAGAATTCACATCCGCAAAAATGAAACAGCCGATAACGGAGCAGAGAGGATTTAAAGTAATGGTAATTACAAAGCACCAAACTCAAAAAAAATCAAAACCAAAAACGCAAACATTTATATCGCTTCTATATTGCGTTCACACAGATAATACGGTTTGACTAAGGCCCAATTAAAACTTGATAAGAGGAAACTCACAGTATTCAACCATCTTTTCCTAGAAAGCATTCAAAGCAAGATTCCTTCAACTCCGAAGTAAGAGGCAGTAAACGCAACTGAAACAAGATGTTTTTGAGTAAGAGCAACATGATACACATAAAAAACAGTTGCAATTTTCTTCTTGTATTTGAACGCACCTGCTTCAATCAACAATCCAAACAAGACAAATGTTCCAACGTCGTTTTTTACTTTATCTGCAGCAGCTTGCTGCAGTTCCGTATTGGCGACTGCTCCAGGGAACATCATATGTGGCTTAACAATAAGCTAAATGAAAATACTTATCTGAGACAAAGACGTTTGAGAAGCAGAAGATATGAAAGGAGAAAAGGAGAGAAGAAAGATGTAGAGGCAGTAGTCTACTGCAGTCCAAAACAAAATGTTTGATGGAAATGAAGTGGAGATGACTAAACAGTAGCCATTGTTTCACATCATAATTTGCAAACTTTCTAAATAGGTTACGGTACTTCATTTTGTATGTGAAAACATTCACGGACATCGTTCAATACAGTATTCGCAGCGCGAGGTGGTGTTTTTCAACTTTGCCGTCTCAAGAATGCACACTATGCTGAAACGTGTTGCTGGCTGGTATCGCAGTTATTACTTCCTTTTTGGTCGCAATACCAACTTGATTGTGTTGTAACTATCTTAATGAAGGCTGCTAAGTAGAGATGACCTGATGAAATGATTGGTGTTTTCCATTATGATCTGTTCATGTAAATAATCGTCTATAAATGGTAGCCGGATGTCTAGAAAGGATCAGTCCGCTTGTCGCTGAAAGGCAGATAAAACCTACGCTGAAATGTGCTCACAACACAAAAGATAGAGCAAACGGCGCTATTCCAGTATCCGGGCCCCAAAATTTATTTGTCATGGATTTTGCTGAAACTTGGCCCAGGGGACTCATTCGGCCCGCTGATGCCGAATATCATATTGTTTTTGTACGACAGCGTCATTTTCTAGGGTTACGGTGGGTATACGGTAGGGGGTCAAAATCACGGAGCCGAAACCCCAGGGGGGTTATTCGACCCGCTGATGCCGAATATCATATTGGTTTTGTACGGTAGCGTCATTTTCTCGGGTTACAGTAGGTACACGGTAACGGGTGAAAAACATAGTTCTGCCTGAAACGGATGTACGGCGATTAGGACGTCGTGAAACTTTGCACACGCGACCACCGCCGCGTGCTACACACCCTGCTGCGGCTTTTGCCTAAGCAAAACACAGGGAGAAGATGCATTTTTTGTGATTTTGACCCCTACCGTAAACCTACCGTAGCCATGCAGGGAAACGTTTTCGGGCGGAGAAAGTGTGACATGTCTAATCAGCATGTCGAATAACCCCTCTGTGCGAAGTTTCAGCGAATTCCGTGATTTTGACCCCCTACCGTATACCTACCGTAACCCTAGATAATAACGCTACCGTCCAAAACCAACATGGTATTCGGCAGCAGCGGGCCGAATAAGTCCCCCCCCCCCTGGGCCAAGTTTCAGCAAAATCCATGACAAAAAAATTTCGGGGCCCGGATACTGGAATAGCGCCGAGCAAACGTAGCTCTACAAGATAGTGCTTAAAGTTTTGCAGCAGCTTTGATTCAAGCGAAGATTGAAGCCAAAAACGAAAAAGGTCCGAGGGCCCCAAGAAACCAAGAAGAAACTGGAAGTCCATTCAGAAGGATCCTTTGAACTAACTTGCTCATGCGTTGTCATTTCGTATACGATTAATCTCAGTTAATCTCAATTAATCTCAATTAATCTTCTTTTTGAAGGTTAGGCAAACAGTAATTATTTCTCCATATTTTCACATTTTTTAAAGAGGAAGGACATGTTTACCTCGAAAATGGCTAACTTTCCAAAAGAAGATTAACTGAGGCAATGCAAAACTAAAAACACAAAAGGATTCGAACCTACTTCTGCAGCAACTGATGGGGCTATCGCTCTAACCACTACACAACAGCTTACCAAAGGTACCTGGTACTCCGATCATATTTCCCTCGGGCGGCCAAACTTGGCTCGAAGATCCTCCATAACTTCTTTCAGAAAAACGATCAGCAGAAACAGAGCCAGATTCGGAATCAGCTTTCGAGACGAGTATCATCTCATCTCAAAAGGTCGCGGAGACACTAAGTATTGTTCCTTGTCAGCTAAAAATTGAGAAAACGAAGTTTTCATGTTTTTGCCAAATCAGTGCTGAGATGTTCTAGCACTAACAGTTGTATAGTGCATGTCGTTAGTAGTAAAACTACATTTTCAGCCTTCTAGAAAACAGCTGGTTCACGAAAAATGACGAATCTAACTTTCCGTATCTGAATTTTTCTTGCCTAGTTGCTAAAAACTCGATATTACTCGTAAACCAGTTGCTGTAAAAAGCTGCAGATTTACACTATGCTTTCAAGGTCCTGTAGAATACAACTGTCGGTGCTAGAACATCTCAGCATTGTTTTGGAAAAGACATGAAAAGCTTCGTTTTCTTAATTTTTAGCTAAGATAGAAATACAGCAACTGCATAGAGAAATGTCTTAGCGAAATGACAATGCATGAGCAAGTTAGAAACTTTGAAGGATTTTTCTGAATGCTTTCTTGGTTTTTTTTGGGGCGCTTGGATCTTTTTCGTTTTTGGCTTCAATCTTCGCTTGAATCAAAGCTGCTGCAAAACTTTAAGCACTATCTTGTAGAGCTAGGTTTGCTCTATCCAATGATATATCGGATCCTATTTGGGATATAGGATTATTTCGGATTATTACGGTCTGTACCTATTTTGGTGCAGAATTATGCATCAACCCAATATATGTTTTTGTTATCGCAAATCTTTGTTCAAACCGGAGTTCCACGACTTCAAAACCGAATGACTAAAACATGAAATTCTTTCCTTTGACTCTTCTTGCTCTAAATTCAAGAAGAATAGGCGGATTTTAAAATTATGAATAACGATTGCGAATCATATGCCACGAAACGCTTGTCAACGTTAGATTCTTGAAACATGAGCCGCGAAATCTTGTCTCAAACTTGGCTGGTAGCTGAGACTCATCCATGCTGCATAAAATTTTCAGGCAAAAAGCGGCTGCACAAGTTTTGCTACGTACACCCAGAGTGGACCTAGTACAACTAATGCCAGGAAAATGGCAGCATTTTTTCGTCTTTCCAGGGAGAAAAATATCAGGTTGTAAAGAAAGTTCCCGGGCACTTGCGAAAATTTTTTTCAAATCGCTGTAACTTCAAGCAGATTGATTCTTTTTCAAAGCTACAAAATTTATTGCAAAGACAATTTTGTCTACAACATAAACATATTTGTCTTGCTGGCTTATCAGCACTTCACTGTGGTTGCTGGTGAGCATGCGCAGAATGGAATAAGGTCGTCGCGAAAAGTGGCCTTTTTGTGCAGCATTATCTCAGGCACGATGAAAGCTGGAGAGCTCAAATACTGTAGTTATATAGAAGTCTGCTGGGGCTGTTACAGGGACTATTCAGGTTTTTGCAGAACCACCTACAAAATTTTTTTTCCAGAAACTTTGAAAAATCGGTCATTTTTTGCCCCTAAAAATGCACCACTTTTCGAGTAAGTAACTTCGAAGTCTTGTCGGTCTGCATAGGGTGGACCAAATCTTTGATCACTGCGAACATTGTTGGGGTAATGCCTTACACGTCTTTTGGACCCATCGTTCAGGCGTGACGATCCCCGCAGAAGAAACGTCAGCTGCGAAAAGAGTAGCAGTCAGAGGCAAGTTTGACAGCCTGTAATTTCTGAGAGCAAATCGCAAAACTCGAGTGCAGCTACGGGTCAAAAGTTAACAGGCTTCTCAATCAGATCACCCATGATTTGGACGAAATTCTGATTGCACAAAAAAGGCCGTAGGAAGAAAAATTGCGAAATTTTTATGGTTGGAAAGATTTTATTAGGTTGTTGCAAAAGTTCTGTCGTTTCATTTTCAAAAATTTGTAACTCCGCGAATATTCAACGGATTTGCTTGCTTGTAATTTTATTAGAAAGAATAAGTCTTTCGCTTTCAAATGTTGTTCCGTGGAGCTTCTGTTTCATACTAGGTGCGGAGATAAAAATGGAAAACTTAGACCATATAAGCTTTGACCATTTTAAGTTAGGTCACCAAAAATCTGGAATGCTGCAGAAAAATCTGAAATCTTCAGTACATATGTTTTTTGGCCTACCCTTTGCATCTGTGAAAAGTTTGCGCTGTTTGGACGTCTCTGTGAGAAGTTATGAATATCGAGTTTACTATGGAAAACGCCAAAATTAATTAATTTGTCAATTCTCGCGAAAATCATAACTTCTCACAGAGACGTCCAAACAGCACAAACTCTTCACAGATGCAAAGGGTAGGCCGAAAAACATATGTACTGACGATTTCAGATTTTTCTGCAGCATTCCAGATTTTTGGTGACCTAACTTAAAATGGTCAAAGCTTATATGGTCTTAGTTTTCCATTTTTATCTCCGCACCCAGCGGAAAAGCATTTGAAAGCGAGAGACTTATTCTTTCTAATAAAATTACAAGCAAGCAAATCCGTTGAAATTTCGCGGAGTTACAAATTTTTGAAAATGAAACGACAGAACTTTTGCAACAACCTAATACTTTTTGATGTGCAGATCAAACACGCCTTGGCATCGATAAAAATCAGAAGCCGTATTGAAAACGTTAGGCTTCCCTCTAATGAACAGTCTAAAAAACTTGGTGTCAAAGTCCGACCTAGCGCCAAAAAATGCGTTTGAAAATGAAATTTGCAAAAGTGCCCGGGAACTTTTTTTTACAACCTTATAAATCCTAAAAAACCCTAAAAAGGCAGTGGAATTTTCAAAATGCTGGAAAGTGGGTACAATTGATTTTCTGCAAGATTTTCTCATAGAAAATTGCCGTAAAATCCAAATTTTATTGCTGCAGCACCGACCGTGGGCTATATAATGCGCAACGTTTGCGCGATCTTAACAGGAAGGCTTCCCAAGTCAGCTCGGCCAACCCGGATGAGTCATATATCACCGTAACGGGCTCGAGCCGCTGATTCCAATTCTGCCTTTTCCAGCTGCGGAGCGGTCCTGCACGAGAAGTTATGGGTGGTGTTTCCCTCCAGAGTTGAGGCACCCGTCAACTTGCCTCCCCTTGTTTATGAGCGCTATATAGGAGGCGCGTGGTTACAATTAAGGGATTCGAACCCGTGACCCTCTGCCTATCGAGCAAGACACTTACCACTACACCAGACGATCACGCGCCTCCTAGCGCTCATAAACAAGGGGAGGCAAGTTGAAGGGTGCCTCAACTCTGGAG